GACGATGGGGTCGATATGGATACCTCGACCAGGAGTCTCCAATTCCGATCTGATTAGTTTGTATTGGATTGGCTTTCCCACAGCCAGGACACAGGCGAAAGCTCTTCATTGGATGGTCTCTGACTGTGGCTCCTGGGGTCACCAAGGCAAACAAATCTGCAACACCAGCCTCCCCTCCCAGTCACCCATCCAGACTCAGCGACTCCGCGACTCCGCGACTCCAGAGTGATACGAAAACAAATTGAAATTGGCATCCCGCGCTTGTTGGCCGCTAATTTATTGGCCATTCGACTTGTGTGCCTAGAATTTTAATTGAATATTAACACCTTTGGCAGACGCTTCGCATCGTCTTGGCCACAGCGGACAGAGTTCGATTTCCGGGGATGGAGCGGCGCACGGGGGAATGGAGACCCGGAGTGCCGATGCTGTGCCGTTTCTCTGTCGGGGCGGGCGGGGCAATGGTCAAGTGCCGCAAGCGTTGCACACAATTCAATTTTTGTGTGTCTTTTGTGGCATTGATTTATTCAACGGTTCCAATTCGCAACGAAATCTCCGTCTCCCTGCTGCGCGTGTGCCTCTCGACACCAATTCTGGTAGCGAGAGGAAATTGGTTATTTATAAGTGTCAGCGATGATTAAATTGGTATGGGATAAGATAGGCAGTGGGGCTACCCACTATGAGCAAATGCTATTCAAATCGCAAGCACTCCGATCCCTACGCTACCATTGAGTATGGCCACTGCTGGGGGGATAGCTGCAAATTGGACAACCTCCCACTGCTTTGGCACACCTACTGCACCTACTGCACCTGCCCCCCGTACCGCCCCCACAGGAAAAGTGCAAATTGTTTTCAACTGTTTAATTAATATGAAAATTATTTAAATGTTCCCAGCAAGGATGGAAGGCAAGGCCCCGCCTGGGCGGGCCACAACCACTCTGACGACGGGTGGAGATGGCAGAATCAAAATCTAATCTCTGGCCAGCGATCAGAACGAGATCAGCGAATTCCGCACCATCAGCGGGCATTGGGGGGCTGGGCGTGCTATTATTTATTGACACTTGAAACCAAAGGGGAAGATGAGCCAAGTCCAAGTCGAAGTCCAGGCAGGCACTGCCCGACCAAGGCGTTGCCGCCTGTGACAGCAGATGGTGTCGGTCGGCATTCCAGGCAGGCACCTTCTCATCGGCAGCAGCGGCGGCGGTTCGTTCTCTGCACGCGACTCGCGAACCGAACCCCAGAACGTTGGAGACGGAGAACCCGGATCGGACCGCCCGCCTGGCTCCTCGACACTCTACTCGACTGTTTGATTTATGCTCGCGTAATTGTTGGTTTAAACGTTTTCGCCAAATGGGGCAGGGTTGGGGTTGGGGTTGGGAATGGGGATGGGGCACGGACTGGCAAGCAACGTTTATGACACCACAGCGAAATGTGAGGCATGTCCAGGGTTGTCGAGTCTGAAAGATGCCTTAATGGTGGTTACATCTATCTCCTACTGAGCGAGAGAATATTTCGAAAATAATTTCGGCCATCCTTTGGATTGGAACATTGCCATGCAGCCCCGAATGGGGCCACCTGACAACCCTAATCAGCCTCTATCTCCACCATAAATATATATATATATTCATATATGCTCAAAGTGCTGGCCTTAAATTTCAGCTTCAGCTTCGCACGTCACACCCCCGGGACCACCTTGCAGCTGCCACATTCGCTTACTTATTTTCGTTCGTTTGTCATCATTTTTTCAATAAATTTCAATTTTCAGGTTCCCGTTTTCCTCTCCTCAGTACCCCAGTCCAACAGTTGCCCTGTCCGACACGAGACCCCTATCGTATCCGTATCCTTGTGGGCCGCCTGTGAAATCCGAAGTGTAAAATTGATTTAAATGGCTCGTGAGTGAAGGAGATAATTTTCAGTTGTCAGATGCTTGTAATATTTATGTGTCGGCGATTATTACCTCCCCTCCCTGCCTCCGCCATCTACTCTGCTTGGGAGACTTGAGACTGGAACTGGAACTGGGACTGAGACTGGGACTGGGGCCGGGACCAACATCGTTTAATGTTACCTACGCGTGAAAATTACTTACTTGTTCCACTACTTGGCACCCCAGGGCAACCAGCGCTTAACTCATTTTTAATATGAATAATTGTGGCAAATTACAAGGCAATTGCACATGCCCTGCCCCCTCTACAGGATCCAGCTGCAGGGGAAGGGATTGTGCAGGTTGGTAATTGAATTGGTGGCCAATTATCGGTAGGCCGCGCGTGAGAGAACTTTTAAATTTCCGGTGGGCTGGCTGGGACTGGGATGACCACACAGCGAAGGCTTACGCCTTCGGTTCGATGCTCGATGGCCAGCTCTTCATATTATAATTGGGCATTTGTAAGGAACTAGAAAGGTGTCCGAGCAGACTTTACCGCTCAGGTTTTATGTACGAAATCCCACATACATATGTAATTACCCGCTTGGCGTTGCTTATTAACATAATTTGCGAGCAGTTTTAGCTCCAGCATGGAATGGGAAAAACTTAATAAAAATCAGTCGTCAGTGGTAATTTACGATTGACCAAGCAAATGAACGCCTAATCCCAAAACACTCAAAGCTAATTACCCACACGGACCACAAAGGGCTACGATGCATGCGGAGATAGAGAGAGAGATTCCTATGCAGAGATTTATGGCGCAAAATTAATAATAATTTCAACTAAATTAATAATGGCCAATGAAGGCAGCCAGTTTATGGCCAGTGCCAGATGATTAACAATGTGCGCACGTTTCGGAATGGAGGGACCATCAAATTCTACACGATTCGAATGTTTGTTTACCATTTCTAATCATCTGCGGCAATGCCATAATGCGGCACTGGGGTGCTGTGTGCCAGGCGCCTGGCGGTGCAGAGACCGACCATTGTTTACCCATGGACATGGGATGGACCCGAGCAGGCCGCACAGCACAGCAGGTGACTGCTGAAGATTTTGGGCGCGCGTGTGCCAGCCTCGTTATTATCTTCATTCTTAACACCAGCGCGACAGAGGGTATCTCCCCATCCCCCCCCCAGCCCCCATCAAACAGATGATGGGACTTTCTCTCTTTCCCCCCATCTGATGTGGTGTTGATCGCTGCCTGTGTGTGTGTGTGCCTCCGCCTCTGCCCCGTTTTTCTCATTCATGTTCGACAAGATTTTTATCGCACATTTTTTTTTTCATTAACATTTTGTGGGATCGAAGATACGGAGATACATTCCCACTTCCACTCCGTGGCGTACCTTCCAACCTTCCAGCTTTGTTTTATGATCATCTTTATGTGTTTTCTGGTTCTTTTGACATTCCCAACTGTTGTCGCTGTCGTTGCTGTTGCTGTTGCTGTGGCTGTTGCTCTTCCACTGAAATATGATCTGTTATTATGTAAATTTTACGATTTTCTAATTTTTTAACACTTATTTTTGGTTATTTTGTAGCTGTCGTGGCCTGGCGCCAAAAATGTATCCAACGCTGTAAGCGATACGGAAATTGCCAGCGGGGGAGATCGATCTCCACATTTGTACTTATGTATACATATACCTACATATGTAGGGATATGTGTGGGCCGATGTCGATCTTGATTAGAAGCAGCCACCTGGCGCCCCATCAGTCCATCAACTTTATGGAGTTTTTTCTATTAAATGTCCCTGCTTGTTTTTGATACATACACGTGTATATTTTGGGTGGTCCATGGCACGCGCTGATATCGAAGCCACTGATAATGCTAGTATGAATCTCATGCAACTCTCAGCCATAAAGAAAATAAAAAATTGAATTTCCATCATCATCATTATGGCATTCAGCTCAGGTGAAACCGAAGGAGCCGCATCCTGGCAAATCCTGGAAAATCCTGGCAACAGAATCGAAATTGTAATTACGGCAGTGCAAACGGAAACCAAACTCCTGATATGAGAAACAAAAGCGGCACATAATTAAAATGGGAATGCAGGAGCCGCAGGAGTCGCAGGAGTCGCTGGTACTGAGCATAATGCATATGCATATGTATGATTATATACCTGCATATACTTACATTGGTACATACATACATATGTAGTATTATAGCATAGGATGCAATTACAGCTACACTTTTCAATATGGCGCCCATTGCGCATGTCGCTGCGGTGGCCCGACCAATCACAAATTTGTTGCTGCTCCAGTGTGGCTGTGTGCGTGAGTATCTGTGTTCGTGAGTATGTGTGTGTTTGTGTGTGTGTGTGTGCCCGGGAGCAGGTAACCTGGAAGGGGCGTTCTTACAGCCACAACCTGTTTATCTGCTCTCTCGTTTGCACAAAGCAGTGGCTCTCAAACTGTCGCCGATCTCTGCGCCACCACAAAAGCAGCGAGAGAGAGTGAGAGCGAACATGAAAGCAGAGAGCATTAGTTGGGTTACTAAGCCGCCAGCACAGTCGCGGAACAAAATAGTGGGCATGTGGTATTTATCAAGTCAAGAAAGAGACTAGTCAACTAAGAGACTACTCTACTCTCTATATTGCATAAATATTAATTAATTAATTTATTATTTACATATAGTTTTAGCTTGAATACAATATAATACTGAAAGACAGGATTTAAAATGTAAATAAATATATAAATAAGTAAAATTAAGTTACTGATACGTGTACATTTATGTGTTTATATTTATGTAATATTAATATCCCATACAAATGTTTTAAAATACTAAATTAATTTTACTTCATCAGCTGTTGCTTGCATTTATCATAACTTCTGGCCTCCAGTGTAGAGTACTCTCTCTCTCTCTCTCTCTTTATCTCTCTCTCTCGCGTTTCAGTATTTCACAGTTGGCGAGTATCTGTGTGCGTTCACCCCCCTTAGAGCGAAGATACAGATACATTGCCCATCTCGCTCGCGCACACCAATACCAGTGACGGCGGCACCAACCAGATTTGTTGGCCATTGCATTTGGGCCTTTTCCAACTTGTGCCTTCAGTTTTTCTCTTGCGCTGCTTCGCTGCGGTTCGTTCGTTCGCCGTACCGCTCAGCTCGCTCAACTTCGATCCGTAGCCGGATCCGGCGGCCTTTCGCTCGACTCGCGCACAAAGTTCTTAAATATAATTTTCAATCAATGAAATTAAATGCAACAAATTAACGCACACGAAAATACACAACAAAAATAAATAAATAAATTAATCTAATCTAATCTAATCAATCTGCTGGCGGCCATCTTTTTGCTGGCACTGTTTCAGTGTCGCCGTCCCGAGTCACGGCACCCGTTAGAAGGGAGAAAGGAAACGAACGAAAATTATAATTTGCAACACGTGTTGACACAGTGCGTATGAAAGATGTGCGGCCCTGCACAAGTGAGCTTCGGTGCTGCGTGAGTGTGGCGCCCCGCCGCTGGTGGTGCAAATGTGTTAATACTCGCCTCTGTGTGCGAGTGTGCGAGTGTGCAAGTGTGCAAGTGTGCAAGTGTGTGTGTGTGATAGTGCCTGGCACAGGGCCCCCCTCCGAAAAGTCGGATATATCATTATTATCTTTTGTTTGGATACATCGGCATAAATCGGCATCGCAGAGTCCAAGTGTAACAAAAGCACAAAACTAAAGCAAAAGCAAAAGCAAAAGCAAAAGAACAAACACGGATATGTACGAACAACAATAAATAATCAAACTACAGGTGAGGCTTGGGTTTCGTCAAGAATCGAACTTGCCGACGGCAACAAAAAGCTGATGTCACCACAGCTGGGGGAGTAGAGAGATGGTCGGAGGAGCAAAGCAATCCATAGTTGATACTGGCACCATCCTTAGGTTAGCATAAACAAAGCTAAGCTAAGCTAGAGTATGCATATGCAATATATATACATACATATATGTATATGGAGTAGATCCGCAGAGTGAATGCAGAAGCAACCTTCTGTAAGGCTCATGGCAGACACTGAATTTCATGATCTCAATCGAACACTACGAGTATGGGAACTATTTCCATTTTAATGGATCGATCGATCTCAACTTGTATGACTAGGCATCCAGCTGCTCACTGGGGTGCAGTGTGAGAAGGGGCATTCGATTCCGAATTCGATGCAACATTCGCTTTTTGACGGATTCTGGCATTCTGGCATTCTGGCATTGGCATACACCAACCAAATTGCCTTCAGGAACGCAGCAGCTACTTGAGGCACTTGAGAACCGGCAACCAAATATTTTCAGTGCAGTGCGCGGCAAAAACGCGAAATTCGTGTTAAAGAGATATTTGGGAAATGTAATTGTTTACACGGAACCGAAAATGCTGCTATTGTAGCCCCCCTCTCGGTGCTGGCGTCTCTATCCGGCTGAGCAGTTGAGTGGGCGAGGGGAAGGGAACCACACACTCTTCGCCGATGATACATATTTATTAATTAGAGGAAAAAGTGGGAACGAAACGAAAGAAAAACAATTTCCAGTTGTCATTCATTCATCACAGCGCCCAACCGCTTCGCACGAGCATCTTCGCGAGTCTTGTAGCCGTCCATCGGATACATTTGTTCCGCGTGTTTATTTATAAAGTAGTTTCGCTTTATCATGCAAATTTTTTGCGTTTGGGACTCGAAATATGAACAAAATTGTTAACTAATCGCGAGGGTTTTCGGTTTTCGGCGCTGCTCTTGCCAAGGGGCCGCAAAATACTTTCTTGAGAAAGTTTCGGATGAGTGGGCCGTGGACCAGTTCCGTCCGGCTGTCTGGGCATGCAAATTGCTGGTATAAATATGAAAATTCTCGACGGGATGGGAAGCGTTTAAATGAATTGGCCAGCGCGTTTTTTGTCGTCGGTATGATGAATGGGGTGCGGAGATGGCAGCAGATGTTGTGCAGACTCACACTCGTATCTGTGGGCTACAATAATGATGTTACTAGAGAACCTTCCGAGCCGCCATCAATGGCCGCGCACAAAGTTGCCAAATTGACAAATTAACGCATTCCTCTAGCCAAGATTCGGCCGCAACAGATGCAGATGGCAGATGCAGATGCAGTTGCAGATACGCAAGCGTAGCGATTCTCTGGCTGGCTTTGATCATTTTACGCACTGCCGTATGTAGAATCCGCCGTAATTTGTGCACTTTGCATGAGGCACTGCAGTGGGACAGAGGTGGGCGGGGGACAGGGGGACTGTGCAAACATTTTAAAAATTGCTTTTGCGTTTCATTCAAAACTTTGGCAAATGTAGCGCGAAAAGGCGACATAGAAGCAGAGGAGCAGAGAGGGAGATACATACATACTAGTAGATATATATATATATATATATATATATATGTTTGTATGTTTGAATGTACATCTGTGTATGCAAAGCCCATTAAATTGACAAATTTCATTCATTACGCTGAGTTCTATTTGATTTCTGAGTGCGTGTCTCCCGCGGTGCAACAATTAAGCAGACATGTCTATAAATACAGTTGTATCTGGCAGATAACAATTGCTTACCAAACCAAACCAGCCAGCGAGCAGTGCTTCGCCATTCCCGGAATCGGTGGTGTGCCCCAACAGGTTGGCACCGTCAACCGTCACCGTCACCGTCACCGTCACCAGCCTCTCCAGGCGATTACATTGTGTAAACACAGACATCGGGCTCCAGATGATTTCGAATATTCGAGCATGCGAGTACGGTTATGAGTACGGGTACGGGTACGGGTACGAGTCTAGCCGCAAAACAGTCGCCCTCTCTGGTTTGCACGATCAAACCAATCCAATCCAATCCAATCCAATCGAGGGCCATTCCACAGTCCAGTGCAGTCCAGGTTGTCACTCCAAGCAGTTCCCTCTCAGAGCTCTGAGTGCGAGCGGGCAACAGAGAATGCAACAGAGATAAAGGGAAACCTTCACCTTCTTTGATGGCATTTCCATCAAAACTATCCACAAATCATCGACTCAAAGGGGAATAATCACAGCGGAATACAACAGTTTTTTTATTGTAAGTTGACTTTAATCACAAACTAATTAGGCAAACGCCTCAGCAGCAGCCAGCAGCAGCAGCCGAAGCATCAGCATCCAATTCAATTCAATTTGATTAACAACCCAATATGTAGAATGAATACCAAAAGAGTAGATACGGGTGTGTGCATTCACAGACACACATGCAGATGGCTGGGGTGGAGGGAGAGGTGTCTGCTTTCAGTTTCGGTCCCCCGCATGCAGACAGTCAAACAGTCAGACGGTCCAGTCCAGTCCGGTCCGGTCCGGTCCACAATAACACTCAAATTAAAATCTTATAAAAGTCAAACTTAACAGCAGAGCAAACAGCCAAACAGAAGAACAGAAATCCGATAGATACTCGTGCATAGATAGCAGCAGCAGAAGAACGTTGGAAATAAATTACGAAATTTGTAAAATAAATTAAATTAATTTTATTCGAATGGCAGGCAGGCAGGCAGGCAGGCAGGCAGGCAGACACTCGATAAGAAATCTCCCGCCCGCTTACTGGTTGGTGGAGAGGAGAGGAAATGCAGTGGGGATAGATCAGATAGAGTATCTTTCAGGTGGCTTCTGCGGCTGTGTAACGGTATAAAGCAATCAATTTGGGATACAATCTTGCAGCTACTATTTAAAGCAGTTAGTTGGTCATGAGGCTTGTAGATTTCCAGCTCCCATTAGCGGCTGCTTCCCTACGTTTATCCATGGGATACAAGCGATCCTATTTGCAAATTTGCAAATTTATCGCGTATTTCGTTTCACTTTCGCATTCTGCTTGTTTACTTGCGTCAAACATGAAACAAGCCAAAAAAAAAAAAAAAAAAACGAAAGCAAAAAAAAATTAAAAACAAAAAAAAGGAAAAAAGAAAGAGAATCCAATTTGAGCGAGAGAAAGAAATCAATGGAGATGGTAGTGGGGGGGTGGGGGCGGGGGCTGGGAATGGGATCTCACTAGGCCGATGACTCAAGAGCATAGCCAACTTGGCGTTGGTATTTTTGTTACAGCAGCAGCAGCAGCAAGCAGCCAAAACGAAATCTCTTCTCTATTTTCTTGTCTTGTTTTGTATATATAATCTGCCCCGCATACACACGAGAACTGAAAACAGATCCAAGAATATCTTTGACTCTCACAAATACATATATACATATATATATCTATATATGTGGATGTGTGTATGTGTGCGTGGGGGATATGTATCCACATACATACATACATATATCTACAAGTGTATCTCTATAGCTACACCAGAGATCGATTGCATATATCAAAGTTACTATAAAATATAGCCAAAGATATTCTATCTGGGGGATACACTTGCCTCTCTCTACCGCACTCTCTCTCTCTCTACCGCACTCTCTTTCCCTCTCTTTATCTTTCCCTCGTTGTGTGTAAGCAGAGACCAGCAGCGACAGCGACGCCGCTTCGTTTGGTAATTTTAGAAATATTCTTAGAACTGAATACAGAAATCTGAAATCAGAGGAAAACCAAAAACCAAAAACCGAAAACCGAAACACCACGCGCCCCATATGCATATACATATATTGTGTAAAAAGTTTATTTTTGTAAGAGATCTCTCTCTCTCGGTTAGGGTTAGAGCAGGTTGGAGGAGCGCCCCACAGCACCTTGCCCCTGCCCCTGCCCCGCCCCCGACCAGAAACAATATTTCCGATAATCGAAAATGTTGCATCTATAATTGTACTCGGCGTTAAGTTAAGTTAATCATATTTGACAACATGGGGTCCGATGGGCTCGCATGGGATCGGGGAATTGTTTTGATTTCAGTTTTTGAATTTCCAAATGGCTTATGAATATGCAGGAAATCTCTTGTTCAACATTTCTAGAATCATTTGCCATTCCAATGGCTCAATTAGCATGGGTTAATTATACCTCCAAACTGGCCATAAAAAGATGAGAAATCTATGCGATAATTAGTCGGATAATTGTGTTGAAATTCCCATTTTGGCATTTGGAATCGGGGGATATTTCCATTATTAAGGGGCACAAAATATCTTCAATTAAATATCCACTAACGTTCCTCTCTCTCTTTCTCTCTCTCTCTTTGCAGCGCTCAAATTACCAAAGAATCTGAAGGACCTTTTGTAGGATAAGAGCTCCTCCGTGATCCCACCACAGTGATCGCTAATTGCACGCACATAGAACGGACTGCCCACCACCCACCTGCCCATCCTAACCCCAACCTCAACCCCAACCCCATCCCCAGATCCAATTCCGATTCCCGCCCAAAATGCTTCAACATCCTGCCACAGATTTCTACGATTTGGCCGCAGCCAATGCGGCCGCTGTCCTCACCGCCCGCCACACACCCCCCTACAGCCCCACTGGCCTGAGTGGCTCGGTGGCGCTCCTCAACAACAACAACAACAACAGCAGCAGCACCGGCAACAGCAACAACAACAACAATAACAATCTGGACATTATGACGCACAATGGAGTGGGCGGCGGCGGAGGAGGAGGAGGACTGCACCTGACCGGGGGCAGCAATGGTGGAGTGACGGGAGGCGGTGCCTCCGGCGGCAGGGAGAATCTGCCGAGCTTCGGCTTCACCCAGGAGCAGGTGGCCTGCGTCTGTGAGGTGAGTGTGTGGAGGATCCGAATCCTGACCTAATCCGATAATATCCGATAATCGTCCGGCCGCAGGTGCTGCAGCAGGCCGGCAACATCGAAAGACTGGGTCGCTTCCTCTGGTCGCTGCCACAATGTGATAAGCTGCAGCTGAACGAGTCCGTGCTGAAGGCCAAGGCGGTCGTTGCATTCCATCGCGGCCAGTACAAGGAGCTGTATCGCCTGCTCGAGCACCATCACTTCTCGGCCCAAAATCACGCCAAGCTCCAGGCCCTGTGGTTGAAAGGTGAGCCACCAACTCCTGCTTCGGCTTCGGCTTCTGCTTCTGCTTCGGCTTCGGCTCCTTGCTTAACCCCAAAGCTCTACCTACATCGAAATTCTTTCTCTCTGGTTGTAGCGCATTATGTGGAAGCCGAAAAACTGCGCGGAAGACCCTTGGGTGCTGTTGGCAAATATCGGGTTCGTCGCAAATTTCCATTGCCCCGCACCATCTGGGATGGCGAGGAGACGAGCTACTGTTTTAAGGTGAGTCGAGACTCCACAACATTTTCATTTTAATTGTGGCACTGACAGTGGCAGTGTCAGTGGCAGTGGCACTGACAGTGGCAGCGCTTGGGCTCTGACCAAAAAGAAATCGTAGAAATGTCTGCACGCCTGTCTGATTGCATTGCCTTGCCCGGGATGGGGTTGTGGGTTTTGGGTACTGGGTTCTGGGTTCTGGTTATGCTGCCCGATACTGCAGGGTTACTGCAGGCCTTCTGTTTATTCCGGGCATATCCTGCGCAGGCTTTCAATTGATTAAAACTGATTTGATTTATTTACATAATTATGCTCATCCCTTCCATAGGAGAAATCCCGCTCCGTATTGAGAGACTGGTACTCGCACAATCCATATCCATCGCCCCGGGAGAAACGAGATCTGGCCGAGGCCACCGGACTGACCACCACCCAGGTGAGTCAATCCATCCCATCCCCAAATGATGGATGCCAAGAAGAGGCTGGCCGATGGCCGAAATGAAACCAAATGTCAAACGCATCTCTTGACAAATTTCAATTGCAATTCCTCAGCCTCATCCTCTCCTCATGTTAATTGCATGTCATCAATCATGCCACAAACTGTGCATATTTGGCGACACATTGTGCGATTCGTATTTCTGAAAGTGCTCACTATCCCGCATCTATTTTTGTGCCCTTACAGGTTTCCAATTGGTTCAAGAACCGACGACAAAGAGATCGAGCCGCCGAGCATAAAGAGTGAGTTTATTTGTATGATATCACGATATCCATATAGGACTATAACACTATATATAATTATAATAATTATTAGCTGAACTCTCTCTGGAGGGGGTGGGGCCTTTGAAGTTTCTGTCCTTCCTCACTTGCTCACAAAGATAATTTATCTCAGCAGATCACAAGCAGATCTCTATAACAGTATATCAGTGACATATACATACATATAGTATATAGTGGCATAATTTATATCTACATAAGTTTGTTTATATTTCATTTGAAATGTTTCGCCCAAGTGTCAACGCGTGCAGAGCACAACAACAAAAAAAATATGCATGCGGATTATATATTAATTTGCATTTAAATTTTCAATTACAAAACCTGGCGACATTTACTTCCAAGGTCATTGAGTGAGTGGGTGGGGAGGGGGGGGGTCTATAGCTAATTAGTGCCAAGGACAAGAGAGCCAAAAGTGGCACACGCTGTGGGGGACTGCTGGGGCACCCCGATGGAGGCGAGAGGCGAGGGCGAGAGGCTGTAAGATGCGAATGAAAATGAGTCGCTGACAAAGTCATTAACATGTTGTTCCAAATTCCAAATTCCAAAATATTCTCTCATTTATTATTTGTTTTTATTTTTATTTTTATTTTTCTTTTGAGTTGTGGGATGTTTACTTTCGTTCGGGTACCTTCGGGGCATGCATACCATACATACATACATATGTGTGGCAGGCCTCGTCACTAATTAAAATCCCCAGTCCTTTCCCCGTTCCGTACCGTCCTTTGCTCACCCTCGGAACATCTGCATTTCCGCTTAAGCAAATACTCCGCTCCGTCGTACTCCGTCAGTTCCAGAACTCTTTTCGGACTGGCTTCCTCTTGGGCGAGCAGCGGAGGGAGTGCCGCAGATCCCTGGCTGCTGATAGGAAACATTAACATTAACATTCTCTCAAACATTAAACATCCTCTCTGCATCCAGCATCCTTTTGTTTGTCCCCTGTCCCCTGTCCAGAGCACAGCTCCGATCCTGCTCCTGCTGCTGCTGCTGCTGCTAGAAGTCATGTGAAGTGCAAACAGTCGAGCGGGAAATTTCGAATGGATTTTTGAAGTGGCCGCGTTGTCCCTAGGCCTGTTTCTACTATTACTATTATTAGTTGGAGACTTTCCCCACGATAGTAGTTCCATTATGCTAAATGGCATATCACTTACGGCAGCATAGGGTGGCTGGTGGAGGGGCACGTGGGGAGTCAGCAGGAGAGCGGAGCTGAGCGAGAAATTGTCGTAATCAAAATGAAAATAAAATGTAAGCAAACGTAAGGCTTACAGGCTGCAAAATATTATAAATTGGATGGCAGCCGTGGCAACCGCAATGCACTCATACATACACAGGCAGTGCACAAAAGTATCTCACAGATACACATACACATACATATACATTCATACGCTGCCCTGCGATAGTTCGTCGCTGCGTATCTCCATCGCTGCTGCTGCTGCTGCTGCTGCTGCCGCTGCTGTTGCTGCTGGTAACTTGATATATGTTTATGGCTGTTGGCTGCCTCGATGAGCAACTCGCTCTGCTGCTACTTTAACTTTTTTTTTCCATATTGTTTTTCCTCATCATCATCCTCCTCTTCTCCTCTCTGCTCTTCTCCCTACTCTTCTCCTTTTTGTGTTTGTTGTGTTTTTTTTTTTTGCATGTGCACTCGCTCTGCCTGTGTGTGTGTGTGTGTGTGTGTGTATCTATGTGCCATGCAGCTTTGTGGCAGTCAGCAAACCACAACGGCGCCAAATCTGAATCTAAAGCGGCACTTTGAACAGGCCAAGCCAACAACTGGCAAAGTGGTTATTGTTTAAATAGGCAGCACCTTGGGCATGGGCCCAGAACCAGAGTCAAGTCTCTCCCTCTCTCTCTCTCTCTCTCTCTCTCTCTAGGTAGAATGCTGAGGTCTGAGCAGGTCTAAGTGGAAGGCCCCTTTGAATAGATGATCGAATGAAAGCAATGCCAATGCCAATGTCAAGGTGCAACCAGACAATTGCCATTGCCATGTGCTCCCCCTAAGAGCTGATCTTTATCCAACTTCAACTAGATTCTATATTATAATTTGGTAATTTGGTAATTTGGCAAGATCAATCGAATATAATTTGTATGCCGATTTGCGGATGGTCATTCAGCTGAAGATGAAGCACAGGGCCATGCGCATATAGTCCACTGTCGAAGATATGGCTGTTATAATCACGCGATACCGATCGATGCACATGTTCACGTACAGCTGGTACTTCTTGTTGGTCACCTCGAAGTTCCAGAGAGTCGACATGGCCCCCAGGAGATTCCAGCTATCGCCAAAGTGCAGCCACGAGTGCTGCTCGCTCACGTACTGGAAGATGCCGAAGTAGAAGAGGATGACCATCAACGGAAAGAGTACCGGCAGCAGAATGACGAAGCCCAGGATGCAGGTATAGGCGAGCTTCAGCATTGTGGGAAAGGGCAGCGGCTGCACCCACACATCCTGCAGATGATCCACCAACGGCTGCATGTAGTACACCACGCGACCAATCATTGAGGTCTTCCTCCACTGCGAATTGAATGCGAAAATTCAAAGATTAGGCGCGAGACTTGGTTGCCATTTCTAAGAGGGGAGGGACCTACTATCTTTCGCTTGTGCAGCGGCTTTCTCCAGGTCTTGTGCATGGTTTCCACTTTTCCAATAAGCAATTTTCAAGAACTATCTTACAGGTTGATAAATTTTGAACAGATATATGTATCACAGATTTTCTATATTTTCTACTTGTGCTACAATTCGTTGACACTTCTTCGCCTCATACAAATATCGGGTTGCTTCTCCGTTTTTGCCTTGGGGAAAATATTTTAAATTAACACGGAAAAGTCCTTTAATTCACTCTCATTACGGATATTCGATATTTTCGAATGGTAAACTTTTTGCCAGGTTTTCAAACCAATCGAAAAGAAAACCTCACGCAGCATTCTCGATGGGCATGCGAATCTTTCACCTTTCATCTTCATTTGATTGATCCGCTTTGGCCGTAACAGCAGCTTCTAGGGGAATTTCAGTATATGTATTATATCTACCCCCATTCCGTTCCGTTGCGTTCCCTTCCATATCCTATCCCTTCCAGTCACAGTCACAGTCCCAGTCCCAGTCCCAGTCTGGTTCCAAGCCCCGTCCTGCTGGCAGAGCAACCATCATACTTCACTTCACTACACTACACTACCGATGCGACCCAGTGCGAGTTCCACTTCCAGTTTCAGTTCCAGTCCCGAGTCCCGAGTCCCATCCCATCCCATCATCTTTCCCTGCCGCTCTCTGCCCACCTCCCTCTCTCTGCCTACTGTTTGTATGTGTGTTTTTCTCTCCTCCTCGTCGTCGTCGTCGTCGTCTCGTAGTCGTCGTCGTCATCATTTTGCGTTCGTCGAATGCCACGGTTGGCTGGAGGGTAGCTGGGCAGGGTATCAGGTTACCACAAAATGTGCGTGTGTTCTTTATTCGTTCGCCCTACCCCCTGCCACTGCCCCTGCCCCTGCCCCTGCCCCTCTCTTCGTCCCTCCATCCATCTGCTGTCTCCAGCGCGTTATTCATTTTTATTCGTTTTATTGTACATTCTGTTTTATTATTATGTATTTTGCGCTTTTGCCCGTCTCCTCTGCTCTTCTCCTCGTTCCTCTCCCTCTCTCTCATCTTGATTTCGCTTTTGTGTGTTGTTTTCGTTCCCCTGCTCTCTCTCTCTCCCTCTTTCTCTGCCATCCCCTTTCTGGGAGTACTCTGATGGCGTTGATAATGATGTCGTTGGTGATGAGTCCCGGGACTTGAGGCGCTTGGGGCACATCTCACACTCCTTTGGTGGTACGGGGTGTTCCTCAAGTATCCGCTCCGCTCCGCACTCTCGCCTACAATTAGAGAGATCTTTGGGGAAACTCCAACTTGACCTCTGCAAGGGTCTTCATATGGTTTCCCCCCCATCACCCAACAGTCTAAGCTGCTTAGAGTTCTGTTCCGCCAAGTCGTGAGGATTACATAAAAGTTTGTTTAGGCACCGCGGGGGGTCGGTCAGAGGCACGTTACAGCTGCAGCAGACTCCGCCGCATCCAACGCGGATCGTCTCGCCTGGGGCAGGGCAGGCCAGGGCAGGGAAGGGAAGGGCAATTAAAAGGCAACAAAATTATTAAAAAAAACTGTCAAAACAATCCACAGCCAGCATAAAATGCGCCACACGCCACACAGCCAAACATGGAACGGAATGGAACGTTTCTCGGACAGATAATAAAATATCTTATAACGATGACAGGGTTGGGGGAGACCTCTCCCTCTCTCCCTCTCTACCTCTCTTCTCACTGGTCTGGGTTAATCGCCAAGATCTTACATAGTTGTAGACAATGGCACAATGCTTAGGTAGACGTAGACGTAGACGCTGGCTAGACAAAAAACCCCCCCGAAACTCCAAGTCTCTGCTCCTTCTGCTCGTTCTCCTGCATCGCCATCGTTGCTGCTTTGGGGTCGCGTTGGCCTCTTCGCTGGAGTGTCAGAGGGTCGCCACGAGCATTAACAACAGCCACCACACACATGCGTAAATTAAATGATAATTTATGATCAACACCTTTTCAGATTCCACTTATGGATCGCTGTTCTCCGTTTAGTTGGGTGTCCTGCTGCGCACACGTCCCGAGATTTGTGTACCGATCGCGCAATGCGATAACTCAACCTGTTCTTTCGCCTTCGACCGAGATCTCTCCTGATCTCTCGCCTGATCTTTACGAATCTCTCTCCGGTTCGCCCTGTGCGCCGGGCTAGGGCTCTCCATCCGAAGCAGCGTTTCATTTTGTTGCCTTCTCTCCTCTCTGCTGTGTGTGTGTGTGTGTGTTTGTTTTTTTAGGATTTATTGGCTTATAATTTTTATTAGCAGTGGAATTCCTTGGAAGCGAAGCCCAAGTCCAGCCATCATCAACCATAACCATATGATGTGATTCTCTCGCTCTCTCTCTCTCTCTCTCTCTCGGTCTCCTTTGTTTCCGATTCAGCATCTCGTGGCACAGTGTTCCTCCTGGTGACTGTGATTAGACTTGTCCTCCTATTCCATTGCATGTCCAAATGAAACGAAACAAGAAAAACTTTCTGTTCCCCGGCAGACATCTCCACTGTCCCCACTGGCCCGCGTTTCCAGTTAAACATAATCCGATCATGCATTATTACCAAGCTAATGAATCTGCTTAAGACAGAGTCCCAGTGCCACAGAAATGGCTTAAGACTACAAAAAATCAATTGAGCAAACAAGTTAAAAAATATTAATTCCCCATCAATGAGCACAGACCCCAAATAAAAATAAAAAAAAAAAAAAAAAAAAAAAGAAAAACCCAAAGAACCTTTTTAAGGTGTGTGGAGGGGTGTGGAGGGCAGGGGGGTAGACCACACACAGAGAACGAGGGCCCACATAACCTGCTTCTTGATTTTGTTATAAACTTTATGTGACATTCACTTCTTGTGGCGGGAATTGTCCTTGAGCGGCTCTGCCCCTTCGCCCCATTCCCCTTCGAGTTTGTCTGCTCAAAACTAAAGGCATGGAAAAATCGAACTGGAACATTTGTTTTATTATAAATGCAATCACTGGAAGGACAGCGAGCAGCGAGTCCTACTAAAGTACATAGGCGCTGCCCTGTTCTCCTTCCGCTCCAGTGTTGACTGCATGTGTGTGTGTGTGTGTGTGTGTGTGGGGGGGGGGCTTGGGCTTGGTAAGTGTTGCAGTGGTGGCCCCAAGCGAGAACGAACAGTGGAACAGGGAAACGAGAGAGAGAGACAGAGAGAGAAGCAGAAACTATGAAATTCTGGTAATTCGATATCATTGTTTATATGCTGCTGCTGCTGCTGCTGCTGCTGCTCCTTCTTCTGCCTGCCATCGGCTTCTGCTGTCTTTTGTTTGCTCCCCACTTTGGCCCGTCCCCCCGTACCCTGCCTGGGATGAATGGTGGATGGATGGATGGATAGATGGAAGGAATGGGGGCGTTTGCGTTTTCCCATATTTGCAGAGAGTTCTATCGATTTTTGTTTAGAGCAGCAGCAGCAGCAGCAGGGCTACTTTAATGTCCACAACACACAATTGGAATTCACTTGAGAATAAGTTGTGGGGGCCTCCCCTCCACCCCACCTCGACTCCTTCCTATTGTCCGTCAAATGTCACATGTGCCCCGCCAAACAGAACAGAAGAGAACCGAACCGAACAGCCGGCCAAGTTCAAGTTCAGGCCCCCAGAAGCGAGATGGCAATTCTGGTACGCCACGCTGTTGGTGGCACTGATCCTGATCCTCCCTCTCCTCTGTCGCACTGTGAATATAATCTACAATTACATGATTGCCGATATCATACAGCTGGGGCCCAGTGGAGCCCGCGCTGTATGTGGGCCCCTCCGTCGGAATCTGCAGCCGCCGCGGAGTCAGCAAATAACTGGCCCCCAAGTTGGCAGTGGTGGAAGGGGGGGGCTAAAAGATCATTCCCTGGCTGTCCTCCGTCTCTGTCTGTTTGGGGCTGAACGCAAATTTGTCGAGTGTGCGCTTAAATGTTTTGCATTGCCATGGACGGACGCGATGCGAGGGCCCGGTTGGCGGCTGCTTGTTCCGATACCCTTGGACGCAGGCCTTATTCGCTGAGTCAGCTGCTCAGTTATCCAGCCAGCAGCCATATATTTTATGTTCCTCTTCGCGTGAGCTTTAAGATGGTTGCCAAATGTCAATTACTTTGACAGTTAATAGATTTAAAAATCTCAATCGATTCTTGTTGATTGTTCTTTGCTGGCGGTATACACTAATCTTGCATAAGGGTATTCCACACTTTGTGTGCAAGTTTTTTGTGTGTTTCTGTTGCTGTTGCTGTGCAAACTGGTTCCGCGAGGCGGCTGCCTGATTGTGCTTGGCCATGCAATTGGCGACAAGATTAACACTTTGCCGATGATGCCAGTGATATCCGTTGAAAGGCAATTGCTCGAATTTCAATCATGCAACGGCTTGCTGGGCTTGGCTTACTGGTGTGGTGGCTGGAGGTGTTAGCCATTAGCGCGTAATTTCAACAATTGTCAGAGGCCATCCATCCATCCATCCATCCCCCAAGGGGATGGAAAATTAACCCCAAAGTGCGTCAACTGTGCCGTGCCACTCGAATGCCATTTACAGAATCAGCCACAAACAATAATACGAGGAGTCAAGCTACTTAACTTTTGGGCCACAAGTGGCACAAGCAGATGGGTGGAGGTGGAGGTGGAGGTGCTGTGTGTGTGTGTGTGTGGATGTGCAACATCAACATCCCCCAATCGAAAGTGACGTGACGCAGCTCAAATAACTGTAGCTGAAATCAGATGCCACGCAGACGCCGAACGAACGAAACGAAACGAACGCTCTGGGGAATGCAATAATGCCGACATCTCTCTCTCTCTCTCTCTCTCTCTCGCTCTCTCCGTCTATCTCTTGTGTCACACTGTCTGGGGCAACACCTCAGGAAAAGGAACATGAGACCATTTACAGAAATTAGAGAGAAAGAGAGGCAGACGATTTCCTTCCGGAAAATATTTTCAATTGCAATTGCTGTGCTGGTTGCTGGTTGCTGTTTGCTGTCGTTTGTCATTTGTTTATAAATAAATTATGCACTCTACATGCATTACTGTGTGTGTGGGTGTGAGTGTGAGGGTGTGGGTGTGGGTGTGTTGACAGCAGTAAATTAGTTGCAACAATTGACACATTTTAATGTAAACGATGCTGACATTTTCTGGGCATATCCCTGGTGGTTAAGCTGTTGCTGCTGCTGCACGACCGACACTTCGTCATCTGTGGAAATAGAGGCACTTGCGATCCAATCAGCATCGCCCAGTGGGAAAATATGTAGATCCCAGCAGTGTTGAAAAATGTCCACTAAATAAAAGAAAGTTACCGAAAGTGTGGCAGCAGCTTTACAGTTTTACAGCCACTGGATGCTAATGTTTTCTAGTTATTATTTATCTTACATTTGAAATGTATCCGCAGATGATAATCTATTGATTCCCCTTACTTGCAGCGGCTCCACGGACAAGCAACACTTGGACTCCTCCAGCGACTCGGAGATGGAGGGCAGCATGTTGCCCAGTCAAAGCGCACAACAGCAGCAGCAGCAGCAGCAGCAGCAACAGCAGCAGCAGCAGTCACCCAACAACAACGTCCTGCATCAACAGCAACTGCAGCATGCTGCCGCCGAACAGAGTCTGCAACATCATACGCATCAGCAACACCATCCCGCCGCCGCTGGGGCCACAAGCGTTGCCAGCAAGACAGGTCACAGCGGGGCAGGCGGCGGTGGCGGTGGCGGGGGCGGTGGTGTTGCTGCAACAGCAACACAAATGCAAATGCCGCCCCTCTCCGCTGCCGTCGCCTACTCCCACCTGCATAGTGTGATGGGCGCCATGCCCATGACCGCCATGTACGACATGGGGGAGTATCAGCACTTATGATTCTAGTTGGAGGCGGCTGCTGCCGCAACCAGCGCAACCAGCGGGAGCGGGAGCGGGAAGGCAAGATCAAGTGCCGTCGAAGCCGCCGCCAGCAGCAGCAGCAGCAGCAACAATGCCTACGGGTGGCACCATCAGCGCCAGCGCCAGCAGGATCTGTCGGATAGCTTTTACTTCTGATCCCGAGCGGAGCTGGACGGAACCTTAGCAATATTTAGATAGAGAGAGGGAGAGAGAGAGAGAGAGAGAGAGGGAGCGCATCGTCGTAGCAACAAATTCTATTTAATCGTTAAACACACAACAGCAACACTTTCTGCATAATCTAGCATTTTTCTGCAACCAATGGAAAGAGAGAGATATAGAGATAGAGAGGGAGAAAAAAAGGCACCACGCAGCAGCACAACCCCCCACCCAACACCCAACAAAAACTTGCAAGAGAGAAAACTGCATCGATCTGTGTACATAGCTAGGCTAGGCTTTAGTTTTAGAGCGGTTGGATGAGAAGGAGGAGGAGTGGGAGTGGGAAGGGAAGGGAAGGAGGTACAACCGAAATGCAAATCAAATCGAAATGTGCAAACAATTATCTATACATATACATATATTATATTATATATATATTACTATATATCTACTGCTAATGCATAAATTATACACTTTTAATTGTAGCCTTTAGTAATCATATTTTTGTTAACAATAAATTCTATTAAATTATTTTGAAACGATCAAATGGGCTCTTTTGGGCTCTTTCCCACGCCTACCTATACCGATATTATGCCTATGTGTATTACCTATAGTCTGCGCCCATTACCCACACCGACCGACCGACCACAAGAATGAGAGCCGGTCGAGCCGAGTACACTAATCCACGGCGACAGGTAAGTCAGCTAATGCTAATGGCCACGTCTAATGGGCGTCGTCGGCGCGTGCGTTGCTCGCACACGCGACCCATCCGCAGCACAGCACCCAGTTCCAGCCCGCAGATCCTGCTCATTGCAGCACCACGTCTCATGTAATGAGTGTGTCTCTTCGGAAAGTTTGAACAGCACTTGGCAACGACCGACAGGAGTGTCTGGGGGCGGCGCTTGGCAACCGAACAAGCGAGTGTCGCGGGGTGCGGGCTGGCTGTCGGCGGTGTCGCGGTGTCTATGTCTGGTCGTGGGGGTGGATGCTGTCTGACTGGTTGATTTTTTTATTGATACTGTACTTACATATAGCAGACATCGTCGCCCCCAGTCAAAGCCTCCCCCGTCGTCGTCCTTGCCCATACCACCCCCCCTTGAACGTTGCCAGGGAGAAAGGAACCACCAGACCAGCAGCACACACGTGTCTGGGCTGCGACTGTCTCTCTCTCTCTCTCTCTCTCTGACTCTGATTGAGATTGATGGTAACATATCTGGTTACAAAATATTTTGACTTCTTTTATCTTGCGGCGGCTTTTTGCCGATAATTTAATTACGGCCTTAATGTGTTTGTTCTTGTGTCTTGGTGAAAATTATTTTAATGACCGCCCACAGGATATTTAAAGGTGGCAACGGGAAACCTTCGCATTTGCACCTTTCATTGAAGATTCCACGGATATACACATACACTCGGGCTTCTTCTCCGAAAATTGTCATACAAAACGGATTACAATTGAACCGAGTTCCGAATGCCAACATTATTTGTCCGGTCCTTTAGCTCAAAGAAAATCTGTGAAATGCCTTAAAAGGGCTTATATGGACACAATGGGTATCGACAATGGTAGAACATGCATGTGCGTCTTGTGTGCCTTTTATTATGATCCTATGGAGCTGTCAATGAACTGTCAACAGTTTGTATGCCATTGATGGAATACTAACCTCATTGACCTGGAGACCTCAGGAATGCACTCAAATAGTCTCATATATGTAGGACATTATTAAGTATAGCTCACATCATTATTGTTTTTATTTTTTGTGATTATGTGCTGCTCATGAAGTAGCTGGTTAAATGTAAAATCAAGGTGAAGAAGAATTTTTGTCTATAAAAAGAGCCTTTTCATTACATTTTTCGGTTGTAGCGTACAATTTTGAATTTTTGGCGGTAAAAGGTCAACAGCGTTATGGGTATCTTGGCCCGATTGCAACTACTGATAAGTTCAGCACTTCAGTTGTCTGTTTTAAAAGAAATATTAGCTTTATTTTGTGGGAAACATGCAAGAAAGTGCAAAAAAATACACAAAACACATTTTCAAACAGCTAATTTTGTTGTATTTTTAATAATATTTCAAATATTTTGTCCATTATAGTATCAAAATTTTAGGATAATAGCAATATTTAATTTTTCTTGATATATAAATTTAAAAAAAAAAAACTAGTTAGCCATAAAATAGCTGAACTAGCAACACTGCCTGGCTCGATACAACTACCGATAGCAATTTGAACAGCTGATTGTAGCGTGCACAGGGTGACCGTTGCCGGTATATTTTGTCGACAAATCCGCGGTCACACTGACGTGCACGTTTTAAATTAAAAGCAGACCATTTTCTATTTTATTTGAGGAATTTTGATTCAAAATGCAAACAGAAGGCAATGCAAAACGTAAGCGACCCAAGAAGAAAGGCAATCGCTTCATGCGAAACGCCAAGGGATTTGCCAAGCAGGGTATCTTCGGCCGAGGCACGCACATTGACGATGAGCAGTTCAGCTACTTCATAAACATTCTGGATGCCATGAAAGCTGGCTTCGAGGATGTGGAGGAGCGCGGTGAGTAGATTGTCGTTATTCAGCTTGTCAGTAGCATTACCCATTTACTTCCTGTGCAGTGAACATGGCCAACAATGTGTTTGAGCAGACCAACGATCAGGAGATCCACTTGGCCTCCAATCAAATCGTGTCCAAGGCATTGGAATCGCTTATTGGATTCGTGGACAACGAGCAGCTGGAGCGATACTTCAATAAATTCGGCGAGGGCCTGCGCCCCTTGTGCTCGGATAGATTTGCTTCGCACGTCCTGCAGAAGATGCTTGAAATTGCCTTTTTGCGCGGCCTGGGCAAGGCAGCTGCCCAGGAGGTCAGCGATGGTCCGACCACGACAAAGCGTGCCAAGCCAGATGCCGCACAAATCGAGGAGGAATACAATTTGGAAACTGATTTCAGCGACGACCATCGAGAAAAGTGTCGCCAGTTCGTGCTTCGCATCTCAAAGTTCATGCTGAACAACTTGGAGGACTTCGTGTGGGACACGTGCGCCAGTCACATCATGAGGACGGCGATACTGTGCCTGGTGGGCATGCACGTTCCGAAAATAGCCTTCGAGAAAGGAGGGGCTGAGATGGCCAAGCATCGAAAACTGTATACCGTGCCCGAGGACTGGCATGAGGTGATGAAAGAGTTTCCCCAACGCCTGGAAATGTGGCCCCAGTTCGTGGACTTCCCTTACCAGGAGCACTCGTCTGCCCTATTGGGCGTCATCTGCCTAGCCCTGAGTGTGGCGGACAAGAGCTTGCTAAAGCATTTCGGCAAAAAGATTTTGGTGCAGAGCCTGTTGAAGGCCAACGAAGAGAATGAAGATGCTGAGGAGAAGAAGGAGACAAAAATTGAAATCAAAGACGATGAAGAGGAGGAAAAGCCGACAGAAGAGAAAGAGCAGAGCACGGAGGAGAAGAAGGACGCTCCAGTGCTGCCGAAAGTCTTTCACCATCAGAGCTCCGTCATCCTTCTAGAGACTATTCTGAGCGTGGCGGGTGCCAAGCTGCTGACCCAGCTGTATGCGATGCTGTTCAGTGGCCGCGTCGCTTACCTCGCCAAGCAGCAGCAGACGAACTTTTCTGTGCAGCGACTTCTCCAGCACATTAAAGAGGTGACGGACTTCGAGGGTGTCTTTACAGAGCTTCAGCCCCACGTGGAAGAGCTGCTCAAAATGGGCTACACTGGCGTGGTATCTGCCCTGAGTGCCGCCTGCCTACGTCTGGCCTCCAAACAGGCCCAGATGATAGCCGTCCTACAGAGTTCGCTGCATGTAACCGGGGACAAGGAGAAGGCCAAGCTGTTCTTTAACTGCCTCATCAAACTGAAACCCTCGGAGGTTCTGGCGAGCGATGAGTCGGGATTCGTCCATCTCCATGGCTCGCTTATTGCTCAGCATGTGCTGCAGTTCAACAAACCCATTTTCCTGGTCAACTGCATCCTAGACCTGCCAGCCGCCCAACTGGCCCAGATCTTCAACACGCCCAACGGCTCACACATAGTCGATGCCTTCATGCAGAGCAAGTTCATTGGCGAGAAGTCCCGTGAGCGCCTGATCCGACAGCTAGATGGCTTCTATGTGGACCTGGCCATTACCCGCCACGGATCCCGTGTCCTCGAGCAGTGCTTCAAGGCCTCACAGGAGGCGCAGCAGCTGCGCATAGCCAAGGAGCTCACCGCGAAGACTAACATGCTGAAGGGTTCGCCCTTTGGCCGCCTCATCTACGCAAAGTATCGCCTAGAAACCTACAACCTCTCGCCCACCCAGTGGCAGGCGAGCTTGTCCAAGCAGTTGGATCCAGAGCAGCCGGGGACCAAGCGGAAGCCAGCCAAGACAGCAGCCGAAGCGTTTAAGGATATACTAAGCTAGGACCTTGACTTGTTGAAAAAATAAAATGTAATTCCACACACAGATAATGTGCTAGCCACGACAGCTGATAAGCGGTTGCAGTGCGCGGGGCCAAGCTCAGTTTGATTGCGTCCGCCAAAGCTGAAGCATGTGGCTGCTGCAGGGGCTATTCATTTGCTGTGTGCTGGCCACCACTTGGGCCTTTGCGGACGAGGCCATCTTCGAGGACGAGGATATTTACAACCAGGCCCTGCCGCCAGTGCCACACACGGGAATTACGGCTCCGGGCACCAAGTGGTGCGGGCCAGGCAACACGGCAGCCAACTTCGATGACCTGGGCAGAGAGCGCGAGACGGACAAGTGCTGTCGGGCCCACGACCACTGCGAGGAGATCATCGAGTCGCACAGCACGCTGCACGAGCTGCCTGTCAACACGGATTGGTTTCCCATGTGAGGGCCGCCGCACGCTCAGTGGGGAAAATCGATATGAAGCCGTGATCTTGACTAATTTGCTTTTCTTTCTTTGCAGCCTCAAGTGTACCTGCGAACAAACTTTTATCAACTGCCTTCAGGCGGTCAACAGTCTCACCTCGAATACTTTGGGTCGCATCTATTACGGCAGCCGGAGGAAGTGCTTCGCCAATGGTTACCCCACCACCGGCTGCAAACAGTACCAGGAGGGGACGTTCCGCAAGCGCTGTATTCGCTATAGCGTGGACAAGGGCCTCGGCAAAGATCTGGCAATTCTATGACATGCCATTTTATTCAATCCATCACACGAATGCCTGACATGACCATGAAACAAGCAGTGTCTCTTGTTTCTGATAATGTTAGCTGATAGGTTGCCGAATTACACAGTGCACAGAGCATTACACATGTACATACATTGCTAAGGAAAGATTAAAAACACAAGCTTTCGGAATTGAAGCTAATAGAATTTTGATTTGAATATAATTGTTTATGTACGGATTGTAATCGGAGGCTTATCGCTGGCTAATGTCATAGTTCAATCTTCTGTGCTCTGGACAGCATCCTCCTCGACATGGGTGTAGAAGGCCAGGTCGTAGAATTGCCAGCGTTTCGGCTGTGCTTCATCCACTTTGTAGTTCAGGCAACGCTTCTCGAACATATCCACCTGATTCTCCTGACACGAGACTGTTGGATGGCCATGGGCAAAGCAAACCTCTTTGGTTAGAAAGTAGATGCGGCCCAGCGTCAACGAGTGTCCGTTGCGCAGGGAAGTGAGGCAATTTCGAAAGGCAGATTCGCACGCACAGGAGAAGCTGCAAGCCGAAAGAGAATCAGCCGTTGCTGAGGGGTTTAGCACACAGAACCGAGTGTTGAAGCTTACATGGGGAATACGCCATCATTGCTCAGGCCATAGGCTTCCTGGTGCGGTAATATTTTTTCCTGGCAGTTGTCATGCGACCGACAGCACATGTCCAGCTCTCTTTCGCTGCCCAGATCATCGTAATTGAGCGCTATATTGCCGGGGCCACACCATTTCGTGCCCGGCACAATTATGCCCAGGCCAAGAATCACATCGAAGGCCCCGCCAAGCAACAATGCAGCAGCTGCAAAATGATGAAGGTGCATAGTACACAAAAGTAAGCAGACGACTGACTTGATCAAGGGGGATTTTCGCAGAGAAGAAATTCGTCTGAAATCTGAAACACAGATAACGATTAATAGCCACCAGATCGGCTGTCGAATGTGGCAAATTTCCTTTGAATAGATAATAAATATTTGTTTATTGTATATTTCTGCAGCCACATTAAAGCCACAAAGCAGTAAATACAATCCCCACTAGTCGGCAGACTCATAACTTTTCAGACCTCCCCCGTTGTTGTTGTATCGCTCGAATCTCAGCGGAGATTGAGGAACAGAAAATCCAATAAATGGTTAATAATTTCAAATTTTATTTAAAAATGAATTTAAGTTTTACTCCAAACAACTCTGAGCTAAGGACTGGCTATTCCCAGTGGATCCGGCATAACATTCAAATCCTTGGCCTTCTTGTTCTGCCAATTCGTTACAATATATCGTTCTCATACCGTTAATAAACTTGTATTTTGTTGTATCTGAAATATTTTGAATAATTCGTGTTCCATTGTAATTATGGCTGCACTTGTGGGGATTAACATGCGCTTGTTTTGCAAAGTTTTCAGGGTTTAATCAATGGATTTCATCTTGCACAGATGATTAACTGGTATCATCTTGACCTCGTCGTTTATCTTGCAGACGAGCACGTCGCCTTCCTGCTTGGAGAGTACACGGCCCACCGACTCCCTTTCCTCGCCATAGATCACCTTGAACTCGTCGCCACTGTTGGGCGGCACAGGTGCCAAGTGCTCGCTGACAATGGAGACGCTGCGGTCCTCCTGTCGCAAGAATACAGAGCACACACCATTGGAAACAGTGCGAATGATGCCCGTTTGCCCAACCAGATCGGTGTCGTCGTGCGTATGAATCCGAACTTCGATATCGGTGGTGCACCAGTCGCCCATCGAGGAGTCCAGGCTGGCCCCCGGTGTCTGGGGATTGTACGGAGATTGTGGTATGCCACCGGGCGTGTTTGGTGAATAGGTCGATGGCGATGGGGTGTTCAAGTAGCCAACTGGATACGGGGAGGGAGCAGGACTGGGACTGGGATTGAAGGGGCTGTAGCTCCTATCCGATCCGTATAGAGTGCCCGGCGTTTGGGGGGCGAACTGCGATGTCATCTGATAGCCGGGAGTACTTGGATTGTAGCCGGGACTTGGGCTGGGCTCCTCCAGCGAATAATCGAAATCGTTGTTCCGCGCCGGTGTTGTGTTTGCTGTCGGATCCCAAGCACCGTGCCGTGGCGTCATGCTGCCGTCATGCGATGGCGTCATTGTGCCATAAGGAGTACGCGTATCTGTATCCCAGTTGGGCGTTTGATTGCCCACCAAGGGCGTCTTGGATCCTGCCGCAGTGTAGCTTGGCGTTTGTGCTCCGTAGCCGGGCGTACGTGCTGGCGTCCGTCCATATGTGGAGACGCTTCCCTCCTTGCCGGGCACCCCAACGATGGCAATATGATTCCGATCGACCGATATCGTCTGACACGAAGTATGCAGCTCTACACGAGCCGTGGCCTCAGTGGCGTCCTTAACAATTCCCACGGCACCTGCACAGAGATCACAAAAAGGTCAGAACATAATGATATATGTACATCTAAACACAGAGTATTACCTTTATAGGGTCCGCCACTGATCTTGATGGTTTTGCCCAAAATTTCCCGGTCACGAGTCACACGGAAACCGCCCCTACCGCCGCGCGCCCCACCACGGGCACCGCCTCGTCCGCCAGACGGATGCATGGGCGATTGAATACGCGGTGACATGAAGCCGAGACCGCCCATCGAACCGGCAGGATTAACGTTGGTCTTGCTGCCTCCGGCCAGCTGCAAGTGCCGTGTCTTGCACACAAATATGCCGCCGTTCTCCGTATACATGCGGCAATGCAGGAACGCCAAACTGCGATACAAGTGCTTGATTTCTCCGGAACGTCCCTGCGTATTATTATTCAATTAATATTGCTAGGAAAAATAGATTCAACGAATGCGAATGTACTCACAGCATGAGGACCCTCCATAACCTTCACAATGTCGCGGCGACGAATCTGATTTTGGTCAGCATCCAAGGCCACAGTATTGCGGTTCTCTCGTCGCTTGTGCAAAGCTGTTGGCTTGCATTCAATGCACTTTCCATTCATGCCCAGCACATGAAAGTTCTCCCGCTCCAAGCGCACAATAACGCCCACATTCTGAGAACTGTATTCAAACAATTTGGGTAAACATTACGCAAACTAAATAGTGCACAATAGACTCACTCAAGCTGCACCAGATCGCCCCATTGGAACTGGCCCAGACAGTCCACGCCTGTGGCCACATCGGAGCAGAGCTGCAGGTCCCGTGGCAAGACCTCCAATTCGTGATTGGTCAAATCAGAGACGAGTACCACTCGCAAGGGCTCCACACGGATAATGAGACCAGTTTCGCCCTCATAGCGACCTGCCAGCACCCTGGCATGGTCTCCAGTTTTAAAGTACTTGCGCAGCTCGCTGGCTTTGAAAATTAAAGGATCCTAAACAAGAAAATTCATTATTAAGTGGTGTAGAGTGGTGTACAGGGAATCGCATTGCAAACCTTTAGATCCTGATGCTTGGGCATAACCGTGATCATGGTGCCGTCAATGGCCACAATCTTCGCCTGCAAGTTCTCCAAGTCTCCCACGCAAACCTCAACATTGTCCCCCATCGAGAACGAGTGAGTCGAAGTCGGGTCATCCTTGACATTGCCCAAAAGTTCCAGATTCACCTCTGTTTGCAGATACGCGGTGTTATTATGTGACAAAGTACGTGGGATGTTTGGTATTTATTACCTTCCGGTGATTCTTCGAAGCGCTCTAACTCAGCTAAGGTGGGCTTTACGCCGTCCGATAGAATGGCTGACATGGTGAAGTTCTTGTAGAGGAAGCCCTTTCGCGAATACCGATTACCCTCGAAGAGTAGGAAGTCACCATCTGAGTGAACCTCACCACCAATAGCCCTGGAAAATAAAGTCCGTTATAGGGATTCGAATGGCTATGGGATTGACTGTACCTCACGGCCTCTGGATCAAAGGGTTTTGCAACTGGACGCCGTTTCTTCTTGCGCTTGCCATCGTCCGTTTCCTGTCAGAGGTTAATTAGGATTAGGTTTGTTCCAATGTTAGCCATTTGGATATTAATTACCGTTGCTGTTGTCCTCAAAGCACCGCGCATTCGTGTATAGTCGATACGGGGTAGAAGTTTCAGATGAACCTGATTTTGGGCCAGATCGACGTAGTCCACCTGCGCAATATCGTCCTTGTAGAGGCCTCGCTTGAGGCGCACCCACTGCTTGACCTTGAGGCCGACCTGCTCCTTGACCACCTTCAAGACATCCGTCATTTCCTTGATGGGCACCATCTCCTGCTTCCATTTGCCCATCCGAAGATTACCCACATTATCTATGGCTGTTTTGACGTGAGTCTGCTTGTAGGCTTCCAGATAAATGTATCCCTTGACGCCCTCGGGTGCGATAATCGATTTGATTTGGATTGGGTCGTCCGTATTGAGGTATGTCAAGAACTTTCGCATCAGCAGCAACGCTGTGGCCTTCTCCTCTCCAATGCGGCACTTGACCATCCATAAATTGGGATCCCTGTGCGGATTCAAAGTAAAGTAGAAGTAATGGCCAGAGAACATCCTTTTCAACTCACTTGATGCCAGGCAATAGGGTCTGCTGGGTGATCTCATCAGACATCTCTTCCCCGCCATCGCCAAAGTGACGTTTTGCAATGGATTCGTCGGCATATTTCTTTCTCAGGTACTCTTCGATCTCATCTTCCTTTTGAGTGCTGCATTAGAGTACGAATATTAATTTTAATTGTGATTCTATCCCTGTGGTATGTGATTTTGCGATTACTTACTCCCATAGGTTTGTACCGCGACGCCTTATTTCTATGTCCCTGGCCGTTGGTCCGAGTTCATCAATCTCGTTCCCAACAATTCCAATCTCATTGGCACCTTCCTCCCATTCGTCATCCTCGTCGACCTTTTGATGGTGCGAGCAGATTCAAAGATTAGGCTACAAATTGGATTGGAAAAGCATTTGCATACAAACCTCGTCGTCCACCTCTGCCTCGTCTATGATGAAGCCTCCAAAACGTTCCTTTTTCTTTTTCTTTCGCGGATGATCGTCATTCTCTTCCTCCTCGTACTCCTCCGAGTCAATATCTTCGCCAGGAGGCTCCTCCTCTTCCTCGCCCGATTCTTCGCTTTTGGGTTGGTTTCCACGACGCTGCGGAGAGTCGGACCCAGAGCCCGAGTGAGCCGATCGGGATCTTGAACGTGAAGATCTGGACATCGACCTTGATCGGGACCTCGAACGCTGGCCAGACTTGGATCTGACGCTGCGCTGCGACTTGTTTGATATCGATCCATCTTCTGAACCACTGTCCGACATATTGCTGACTTCGGAGTCTGACATTCTAATTAAATCTGTAAACGTGTGCGACTGCAGGCAAGCGCATCACGAAAAATACATTTAAAACACATCGTTAGGATCTGAATGTTGAATCATTGGATAGTGGTGCACCGTGGCAAGCGACAAACATGAACTTACTGTAGGTTTTTTTGTTTTTTTAGTATCTGCGCCCGAAAATTTAATAAAAGCAAATTTTTTTTCCAATTTTATGCCACGCTCAGTGTGACCGCGGATTTATCTATACGCTCTGACCCTTGGAAATATACCTAATATACCGTTTATATACTGATGGAGAAACGAACTTAACCCCCCTTAAGTTAAAGCGCGGAAAATAATACTGTTTGTAAATTCTCCTTGTAGCTCTTTAAAAAAATATATTTCCTCGATATCTTTCACCATTCATCTGTTAAAACTCTTCAAGTTTCATAAAAAGTTTTAGGGTGACCGTTTACGGTGTATTATATAGTTTTCGGTATATAGTAGATGGTGGGCCAGCACTGTAGGGCTTGAACATTCTCAGGTCACACTGGTTGTCTGGTCTGCCAAAAATTCACAAATTGGAATTTTCAAGATGCCCAACGAAGATGTCGAACTGGCCGCAGGTAACAATGGTAACAGTGGCGTAGCTCCAAGAGCCGCATCAAGCAACGAAATGCTGCCAGCGGAGAACATTCAGAAAGGAAACAACGCTGGGAGCGCCAGTGCGAGTGGCAGCAACGGATCAGACACTCCCCCGCCCGCCCACGAAGTTAAAAACAACGACGACGACCCAGAGGACGAGAACGATGAGGAGCTCCTGGAGCGCATGCGTGGTGATGCTGTGGGTGAGACAATGTACAGCAGGCGCTTTATACTGCAGACGCTGCTGAAGCTCAGCCAGCAGGAGGCGGGGTCGCTGGGGCGGGAGTTGGAGGATGATTTGTGCAAGGTGTGGGACATGTCCGTGTCGCCGGAGGTGGTGACTCTCTTGTTGGAAAACGATGCCATCGAGCTGCTCATGTACGCCATCTCTGGAAGCGAAGATATGCGCCTGTATGAGATACTAATCGGTCTGCTGGGCAACATGTGTGCTCAGGCTGAGTGCGTGGAGCTGTTGACGGCTAATGCGGAGTGGATCGAGACGCTCCTCAAGCTGGCCACCTGCATGGACACCTGCATGCTGATCCAACTGATGCGCGTCTATCAGTACATCATGGTACATGTGACGAGCGGCAAGGAGCAGTTTGGGATTGACTGGTACGTCTGCTTCGCCGCCTTCGATGGCTCGGCCAGGAATCTAGGCTTCATTCTGCAGCAGTCGGTAAGCGATGACCTCCTTACGGCTGCCCTGAAAGCCGTCAATGCTGTGCTGGCCAGCTGTGCCTTGGTCGAGGAGGAAAATGCCAACTCTACAGTCAAGTTGAAGCCCTTTGCGGAGGTTTTCCTGGTGCAGGAGCTCTGTGATGGCGTGAACAATTCGTTTTTGCGCCTCATGCGCGATGATCAGGCCAAGTTCGCTGATGAAGTCGGAGCGGAGGATGATGGCCAGTGCCAGGCCGTCGAAGCAGACACCGCAGAGGACGCTGATGTCGGCTACGTGTCGTTTTCACCCCATATAACCTGTGATGTGGAGATTATACAAACCTACCTCAACATTTGCACTATTCTTGTTCAACTGCCTGAAGCCCAGGCATCTATGGATGTCTACGCTCCCAGCATCATAAGCTGCTTGACGCGTATTCTGAAATTCCTTCTGCAGCCTCTGCAGCTCCTTCCATTGGGCGAACGCCAAGAAGAGTATCTCGAAGATCTGGCTCATATTTGCAGTGTAAGACGAAATCTCATATCCTGTCAATCCTGTAAAGCTAATCAATTGCCTCCATTCCAGCGGCTAAATTATTTCTATCAAAAAGATGCATTCGAAAATCTGCTAGAAGTGTGGTCAAGACTCAGACGGCACATAGAAAACTTCAAAGAAGGCGACAATGACTTTGAGGACGAGGAGGATGAAGCTCCCAGGGAGCTGTATGTGGAGAATTCCTCAAAGCTGCTGAGGCTACTCGCCTGCATGCTTGTCAAGGCAAAAAATACGGAGGACATACAGAATCTGCAAGACATTGATGCCAACAAAACCAAACTCTTTATTTCGGCTCTAATGGCTGAGCAGGATGTGCTCTTCTCGAAGGCCCACGAGCGCCTGAGCGACGTTTTAGATAAGAAATCGGGCCAAGCCTAAGAGATATCCCTTCTTAATAGGGAAAACAAAAAGAAAGGACTGATATTTTAGCTTACAGCACAATATATTCGTAACTTAATGAGTCGCGTCTTTATTTAATTTAGATTTTCAGTGGCCATATCCTGAAGCTTCTGTCGCATCATGTCACTCCAGGATTGCTTGCCTAGACGAACGCCTTTTTCCCCAGTGCTTTTCACTATCAGTCGCTGATGCTGATTCTCGTTGCTGAGTGAAAATGTGCTCTTGTCTTCGCTCAGTGCATGTGCCACATGCTCTAGCTCGTCGTCTAACCTGACCTCGGAGGCTGTTACTTCAATGTTCAACTCCTTTTCAATGCTTTCTGATATGTGGATGACGGCATCGTTTTCCAAATTATCAGCCTGAATCCTGCACTGTCCTATCAGCTCGGAAAGCTGCAGATTTAAGTTGCCTCCTTTGGTGTCCACCTGAAGATTGCCGTGGACTCCAGCTGCAATTAGCGTGTGAAATAGGTGTTGGAATTGGCAATTGCTTCATTTTACTCACTCATATTGAGCTCGGCCGACTGATGGACATGCACTTCACTAGTCTTGTGGACGTTTCTTAGTTCCAGTCGACCGGTGTCGGTTTGAAATTTCGATTTCTCCACGTAGCAACAGTCTGTAATAATGTTGCCTGCCTTGGTAGAGCACTTTAGGCTGTCTCCTTGCAGCTTGTCCAACTCGATATTCTGAAAAGTGGAAAATAAATGTGGTTAATGCGCCTAACCGAATCAGTTCTGACTTACACCATTGTGCGTTTCAATTTCGGTGGATTTTCCCAGCAAAGTACCCTCGCAGGTGATGTTACCATTCTCACTGTATAGAGAAATGTTTGTGGCCCGCACATTCTTGGTAACAATTGCACCTTCCGCCTTGACCTGAAGACACTCGCTCTGTATGCCCTCAACGCTTACATTGGCCCCTCCGACTATGAACACGTCTGACCGCACAGGAATTTGGAGGTGGCACTCAAATCGTGAAGGTTTCTCCGCCGTCTTCTTTACCTCAACATTAACGATTTTTTCATCGTCGGATATGTTGACATCTAATGTAACTTTTGTGTTCTTGGGCTTGTAGCCGTGCAGTTGCGCTATAAAGACATTACCACTTGTGTATTGGTGTACATCGGCACACTTAACTCGCACTATCAGATCGGATACCACATTAATCCTGGCAAACGGGTTTACATAACGGAATATCTCCTCGTGCACAACTTGCTTTGGGACGGTGACGGCCATTTGTGGTTTGATCTGTGACTTGGACTTCTTGGCGTAGTACCGGAGGTGGTGACGAATTTGTGGTATCCAAACCCGTGGCAGAAAAAACATTATATTGCCAGGTCAGACACAAGAGTTGTTTTGTTTACTTTTTGACTTGATATCTGTCAGCTGTGGTGTCCACCGCTTACCAGCACTTGTTTTGCGTTTTAAATTTGTAGTGCCAGGGGATTCTCTCTCTTCATCGTTGTGGGGATATACATATCCTCTCGCAACATCGGGATTTTCATCGCAATAGTGTCGCCTACGTTCCTCTACAAAACATATATGTTTTTTTAACGTTTCACGTCGATTTGCGTTAGGCAGCACTATCTTATCTGCTATCGATTTCCCGCAGTAGCTAGCCAACACTGCAGAAGTCCAATTGGAATTTTTCAGTGTAGTCGACTTTTTTCGGTGCGCATTAGAAAATCGTGTAACTAGCCAGTTTCATAGAAAAAATATCCGAAAAATGTCCGGAAAAGATAGGTTACCGATTTTCCCGTCCCGTGGTGCTCAGATGTTGATGAAGGCACGTCTGGCGGGCGCACAAAAGGGCCATGGACTCCTGAAAAAGAAGGCTGATGCCCTGCAGATGCGTTTTCGCATGATTTTGGGCAAAATCATAGAGACCAAGACCCTAATGGGCGAAGTTATGAAAGAAGCCGCCTTTTCGCTGGCCGAGGCCAAGTTCACGTCGGGTGATATCAACCAGGTGGTGCTCCAGAATGTGACCAAAGCGCAAATAAAGATTCGCACCAAGAAGGACAACGTAGCTGGTGTCACGCTGCCCGTTTTTGAGTCATACACGGATGGCGCCGATACCTACGAACTGGCTGGTCTGGCCCGTGGTGGTCAGCAGCTGGCCAAGTTGAAGAAGAACTACCAGAGCGCTGTGAAGCTCCTCGTCGAGCTGGCCTCGCTGCAAACGTCATTCGTCACGCTGGACGAGGTCATCAAGATCACCAATCGCCGTGTGAACGCCATCGAGCACGTCATTATCCCTCGCATTGAACGCACCCTGGCCTACATCATCTCCGAGCTGGACGAGCTGGAGCGTGAGGAGTTCTATCGCCTCAAGAAAATCCAGGACAAGAAGCGCGAGGCACGCATCAAGAATGACGCCAGAAAGGCGGAGCTACTGAAGCAGGGCATTGATGTACGCCAACAAGTCAATATTCTCGATGAGGGCGACGATGATGTGCTCTTCTAAGTATTATCCGATCTGTGTGTATATTCCAGCAATATTATTGTTAAACTATTGTTCTGTTCCATTTCGCAATTCGCAAAAAGCAAACCACAAACTAATGTATGTAGTCTATTCCAATAAGAAAAATGTATGTATTCCATTTTTGTAGTGCAGTGTCAGAGCTGCGCCAATCCTGCATTAAAGTTTTGTTGTTCCATAGAACGTATTATGTGTGTTGTGTTGCCATTCCTGTAATTTGAGCATCAAAATAAAGGATTTTAAGTTGGAAAAAAAGTCATCTGACTTGTTTTATACAACAATAGCAGCAACAATGCAAGGCCTGTGACGCGGTCACATGACTGCAAACATATGTCTGATTGGGAACAGTGTTGAGCAGCGCTACGCGCAGTTAATCAGCTGCTTGTGTGACGTAGATAGTTTGTTTTATTTGCACGCGTCTGGCTGAATATTTGCGCAATTTATTCATTTAAAAATGACCAACTTCGAGTTCCAGGCTGTAGTTTTGGCCGCCGGTCGAGGCACGCGTCTGCCCGAAGTGCTCGGCGATGCGCCCAAGTGCCTGCTGCCGGTGGGACCCTTTCCGCTGTTGTGGTATCCACTGAATATGCTGCAACAACACAACTTTTCCGGTAATTGCAATTACTCAGAAATTTAGACTTATATTGAACTATTGTTTGATCTACAGAGGTTATTGTGGTGGTTCTGGAGCAGGAGAAGCTGGAAATTCAACTGGCCCTAGAGAACACGCCCCTAAAACTAAAAGTCGACTATGCCACAATTCCCAACGACAGTGATTTTGGCACAGCGGACAGCCTGCGCTACATATACGATAAAATCAAATCGGACTTTCTGGTTGTGAGCTGCGACATTGTCAGCAACGTGAGCCTTTACCCGCTGATCAACAAGTTCCGCGAACATGACGCCGCGCTGGCGCTCCTTCTGTTCAAGAGCGGCTTCGAGTCGGATGTGGTCATGCCGGGGCCAAAGACCAAGCACAAGCCGGAGCGCGATGTGATTGGGGTTCATTCGGCTACCCAACGTCTGGCCTTTCTGACCGCTGCCAGCGACTGCGAGGAGACACTCAACATCCAGAGGCATTTACTGAAGAACAAGGGACAGCTGGATGTCTACAGCCGTCTGTTGGATGCCCACATCTATGTGCTGAAGAAGTGGGTCATCAACTATCTACACAGGGTACTTACAGCAGAGTTCTGCCAGAGGGATACATTCTAATCTGAGACTTCATATTATTGCAGAAGGAAAATATCTCAACGTTCAAGGGAGAGTTCCTGCCGCATCTCATCAAGAAGCAGCATGCCAAGCGGCCTTCCAAGGCTGTTCAGGATACGACATCTGAGGTGGGACTGGCCACCAAGCTCGAGGACCATATTCTACATGTAAGGATTTCAATTTCAAAATTGTCAATTCCCAAATAATTCATCCAATACAAATATTTTGTTTAGTATGTCCCACACACGGCTCTGGATCAGAAAATCACGCAGACGTCGCTGTTCAATCAATCTCTGTCGCATGTTCCCTATCACGGCGACGTGGTGCGCTGCTATGCCGTCCAGGCCCCCAAGGATGCCATCGGAGTGCGGGTGAACAGCACGCTCAGTTTTCTGGCCATCAACCGAAAGTTGGCCAGCATCTGGAACGAGCTGTGTGGCGAAACGCATCCGCTGATCGCGCCCGGGGCTCTGGTTAAGTCCACGCAAACGAAGGAAATCATAGCGGCCGACAATGCCAAGCTGTCGGAGAAGACCTCCCTGAACTACAGTGTTTTCGGACCCAATTGTGTCATCAATCCGAAGAACATTGTGAGCAACTCGCTCGTCATGTCGAACGCCATTGTGGAGGAGGGCTGCAACATAGACAACTGCATCGTGGGGCATCGGGCGCACGTGAAGAGTGGCTCTGTGCTGAAGAACTGCATCATCGGCCCCAACTACGTGGTGGACGAGGGCACCAGCAGCCAGGCGATGCATCTGTCCAACGCCGACCAGTACATGGAGATAGACATACAGTGAGCAGCTAACTTAAATGTGGCTTCCTTTATTAACGAATTGAGTTAGAAGGCGGATTCTTCTAGCAGGACATTAAATATTACAAGTAGGTACACAAAACTCGCGCTATGAATTTGGAGCTGACAAGGGGAGGCCGTCGCATGCCGTTTGAGCTCTTCCCCCCCTGCCAGCAGAGACAGAGAGCAGGAGCGGGAGCACAGCTTAAAGCTAAAAGAGTTGACCCCAAAACTGCAGGGCACTGCGGGGGTAGGGAGAAATGTACACAATTGGTGGATTCCAAGGGGTAATGGGAATGGAAAGGGTAGGGGTGGGCCTGTGCCTGGGGGCGTGGGCGTGGAACGACAAGACTGTTTGCTCACTCCTCACTTCCTGCGCTCGTAGAGGTACTCATCCTCGTAGTACCTGGGCGTTGTGGCAATAAACACCTGCGGCCTGCGCTGCTGCAGCGAGATATTAATCTCCTCGGGCGTGCGGAAGACCTGCTGATGCTGATGCTGCTGTTGCAGATGCTGCAGCTGTGGAGCGGCAGTGAAGAAGCGGTACGGCGCCGGCGTTACGGTGGGCGCCAATGTCTGGGGTCGCTGCTGGTGCAACTGCAATTGGGGCTGGTGCAGCTGATGCAACTGCAATTGTGGCTGGATGGTGGTCGTGGGCTGGGGTTTGCGGTAGGCCAGGGTGGTCGGCTGCGGTTGTGGCTGGTGGCGGATCTGTTGCTGCTGCTGCTGCTGCTGCTGTTGCGGCTGCTGATACTGGACGCGAACTTGAGGCTGTGGCTGATGCTGAACCTGGGGCTGCTGATAGGCGACCACTTGACGATGTTGCAGCTGCTGTTGGGGCTGCTGCTGCTGTTGCTGATGGTGCTGCTGTTGCTGCTGTTGCTGCTGCTGATGCTGTATACGGGGCCTGGGCGCTGCGGGCAACTCCTCCTCCTCGTCGTCGTAGCGCTCGTGCTCATAGTAGTTCTCGGGGAAGTAGCGCTCCGAGTAGCGAAGCGTCACATTGGGCTTGCTCTGGTGCTCCTGCAGGTTGATGGGCTTGTACAGGTAGTCGTTGACGATGTGGTACTTGGAGGACTGCTTGCAGATGTTGTCGTGCGAGGGTGGCATGCAGATCAGGTGTATCTGGTGGAAGGTGAAGCCCTCTGGGCAGATCCACGAGTGCTTCTGGCTCTCCTGGCAGTAATGGAACACCTCGCAGCTCAGCGACTCGTCCGCGTAGTAGCTGAAACAGGAATATAATGAGCAACGCTTCGTGGGAGCGGCCAGTGGGAAGGGCTTACCCAGAGTTCCTGTCCGTGCAGCTGAAGGTTGACTTGCTCAGCAGCGTGGAAAGACGGTCGGGCTCCTCGATCTCCTCCTCCTCCTCCTCGCTCTCCTCGCTCAGCGGCTTCTTGAGCTGCTGCTTCAGGTAGTTGCTCTGCTGCTTGGCATTCCGATTGATGTACACCTGGCGCGGTGCCTCCTCCTGGTCCTCCTCGCTGTACTCGTACTGCTGCCGCTGCTGCTGCTGCTGCTGCGGTTGCTGCCTGTAGGCGAGATGCGTCTGGGCTTGCGTCTCGAAGTCATCCTCCTCCTCGCCGCCGCTGGCGCTCACGTCCAGCGAACGGGCCGAGAAACCCTTCGGCTGAGCTGTGGTGGCCGTGGCCGATGGTGCTCCCGTGGCGGCTCCATTCACGCTGGCCCACAGGCCGGTGGCAACCGCCAGGACTAGTAGCAGGGCTGTGTGTGTGCTGCAAGAGAAACAGAGCCATTAAATGAGTCAATCCCAAGTCATTCCGCCACTTTATGATATGGGAAACTCTGTGGCAAGCAGACAATCAAGAAAGAAGACCCACAAAAAACGCGGGAAAATATTTTTGCGAACCTTTTTTCTCTCGACTTGCAGATGCCGCCAAATTGCAACCAAAGAAGACAGCCGCCGCCGCCGAAGCCGCCGCAACCCCATCGGATCGTCATCGGCATCGTCAGCGAGGCCCAGCGACCAGTTATGCAAGACCAGACCAGGCCAGGCCAGGCCAGAAAACTTGTTATAAGGTAACAGCAAGTCGCAGTCCCTGTCCCGTACCACATCCCCCCATGAAGATGCCACCACAGAGGCTGAGAAGCCTGAGAAGCCAGCAAGGAAAGTTTGGCTTTGGGAATCATAGAAGATGGAATACACTTGGCGAAAGCTGTCCCCATGGCTGCACCGAAAGTTGCAACGGAAGAGACTGGCATTTGGAGAGTAGCGCGGACGGCAAGGCCTAGGCCTCCCCGTGTGAGGTTCATCCTGCGGAGCGATGATCCCTGATATAGCTGATGTACCCTCTTCCAGGGAGTACAATAAAGACGCTCAACTTGCCATTTAATCGAGACCCACTCGCACACACACACACACACGGATCACAGACAGCTTTGGCTGAATGTCAACTGCTACTCATACGCATAATCTGAACGAGGCATTCCTGCCCGATGGACGGTGGCCGGTGGACTGTAGCTGGTCAGTCCAATTAGCTAACGTTACGTGCCCGTGCCCGTGCCCGTACCCGTACCCGTGCCCGTGCCCGTGCCTGCCTCTAATTGAGGCCGTAACTTGGAAAGCCAAAGTAACAGTCACAAATAGCTGAGCAAAGTGAAATAAGTGTGGCAATAAAAGCAAAAGTCTGAGCCAAACTTTTACTTTTCCTGCCAATCGAATGTCTCGAATGACTCGCTGGCTCGCTGGCTCGCTGGCTCTGACTTTGAATCTCTGCATCTCCATAGCGCTTAATTGGGGCAAGTTAATAAAGTTTTGACCTGCATGGAGGGCTGAAAAGTGTTCGATGTGCAGCCAAGATCGAGTTTTCAAGCTGCGCCGCTGCCAATTTGTCAGCTCGCCTCTCTGGCTTGCTGCAGTTTCATTCGCAGTTGCAGTGCCACTGGGAATGGATGGGATGCACCTTTGAACTTTAGGCAGCCTCTGGCTGAAGATGCGCAGGCTGCCACCGCTTGTTGCATTGTCACTGTCAACGAACCTTTTGCGAAATGTGCCTGGGAATCGCCAGAGACGGCGCTTTCTTCTCGCACCTGCCCCACATGCAAAGAGCACTCCATCTATGCCAGACAGCCAGACAGCCAGCCAGTCAGCCAGCCAGCAATTCCCGATCATTCCGCCTATGGCTGCTGCTGCTGCTGCTGCTGCTGCTGCTCTACATGTGGCCACACTGCTCAGCACTCTCACTGGCAATCGCAGTCGTAATATAATCTGGCGTTGCATGGCCAGTCCAGCCAGTCTGTCTGCCATAAATGGTGCATTAGTTGCATGTCTCGGGATCTGACTCTAGCTCTAGCTCTAGCTCCAGATGGAGACTTTATCGTACTGCCATTACATCACATCCCAGCCAAGCGGCAGAGGCGATGCGTTGATGGTTTTCTTTCCCCTCCCGCCCCCCTGCTAGACCACCTTTCAGCCACTTCTGGCATAAGACCACAAGACAGGCAGAGAGTTGGTTTCGTTATACATGTACGAGTACACGGGACCGACTTGATTTTGCTCTCTGACGCAGACTTTTCTTGCGTAGGAATTGGGTGCTGTTTCTGTATCTCTTACGAGCCTCGAGCCGCCTCTATATTTGCTTTTGATTTCCTTAAATGTTGGGTGTGCGTCATGTTAGACGGACTTTTTTGGGGTGACATAAGCGCAACTCTTACAACAGACAGACTTTCGAGCCACTTTCCAGCCAGAGCCACCTGCATTTTAATGAGTTTGTTTGGTAATTATCCTAGAGATTTGGCAAGGCAACAGACTTGCATCCAAATGGCAGATTCCTGTTCTTCTTCCCTTCTGGTATACATATGTAATCCAGCTCTCAGCTCAGCTCAGCTCTTTTAAGCATGTAATTTGCTTACCTTAACCAGTCGAGTGGAGTCGAGTTCGTTGCTCAAGTCTTTTGTTTTCACTGCCTTCAAGCAGGGAAGGGAAGGCATGGGATGGAATGGAATGGAATGGGAGGCATGTGAGCTATTTTATCTGAGAGCTTAATTAAACGCAAGCTCGTTAACAGCCTGAAGCCATTAAACTGTGTGAGTGTGAGTGTGTGTGTTGTGTGTGTGTGTGTGAAACATGAAAACCCACAAATAAATTATGTACATTGCACTGCTTTAATTTCTCGTTTTTTTTTTTTCACTTTTTCTCAACTTAAGTTTTTTTTGTAACAAATTAAACTCTGCTAATGTGCGTGCAGTTAGGCGGGGAGTGGTGGTGGGGCGGAGGTGCCGTGTATTGTATTTTTAATGTGCTGGAAATTTACGTTTGGCTGCTTTCGGGGGCATCTAAATAATGTGCTCCATAATTGTTTGTGGCAATGGATTTTATGTTTCTTTTCGCTCCAACTCCAACTCCACTCCATCCACTCCCCTTCGTCTTCGTTTATCTTTTAATGTTTCGTTAATAATTTTGACAAATTTGTTACCGTTTTGGGGGGCTGACCTTCGTCAGGGCTGGACAGCCTTAAGGGGGTGCCATTTGGATTCCATCCAAAATAAAAGTGAAAAGTTCGAGCCAAGGGCCAATCCATGATTGATCCAAACACACCCCAAAAAACAAAAATAAATAATTGCGTGCCTTGGGGCTGCCTTTGGATACACTGCAGCCACATACTACGATCCTATGATACTCCCTATGGTCATCCTATGTTGGGTGACTCACTGAGGCTGCTCCTGTCAGCATCTGGCCAGAATCATGATAGCCTCGATGGCTAATAGCCAAAAGCGCTGACCAGAAGGCCGCTGCTGTCGAGTGGGGGTGTGGCAGAGTGGCAGAGTGGCGTGGCATGGCGTAGCGTAGCATGGGCACACGCTTGGGCAATTGCGCATTTCTGTGCGTAACTGTAATTCCAAACGCTGACATATTGCGTATACGCCCCGTGCATTTGATACAATTGCCGCTCATATTCGCAGTGGCTTATATAAGCGCATGCGTATGAGTAATCCACACGACTTTTAGAAAGGACAAGTCCCGTCCCCCCGATTATGTGAGGCAATTTATTGCAGAGATTGTGATCTAGCTCTGTCTCTCTTTCTCTCTCTCTCTCTCTCGCTGTCTCTGTCTCTCTTTCTCTCTGTCTCTGTGCAGAGGCGTGACCAGGTCCAATCGATTCCTAATCGATTGATCTACTTCAGCTGTGAGTAAGTCAGTCCGTTGGTCCGACAGTTGCCCGGCCTGGACATCAGATTGCCACAAAAGCAAACACAAATTTTTGGCCATAAACTCTCCCTGCCCGATTAGGTAATGGGGCTTATGCTTATCCCCACACAACCCCCCCCCCTGGGGTAGTATTGTGGAGCCGCAGCTGCCACTGCCAGCGTCGCGTCTACTGACGGGTACTTGGCTGTCTGAATGAACTGTCAGTGCCACAGGCGGCCAAGAGACCAACAAAAACAAAAACTCCCACGCCAACACAGAGACGGAGGCAGAGGCATAGGCAGAAGCAGAGGCAGAAGCAGAGGCAGAAGCAGAGGCAGAGGCAGACTTGGGCAGACATTGGAGGTGGAAAACCCAGAGACACGCTCCAAGTACGAGTCGCGTATTGTATCTGCCTCTGTTGCAGTTGCATTTGTCTGCTTCTCGTATGTTGCTCGGTTTTGAAATCTTTCAAAAGAATATTTCGTGGTTGCCAAGCGACACAAAACTGGGCTGAGAGAACCTCAGAGACCCAAAGACCCAAACACAGAGACTCCGACAGAAGTCAAACAATACCAAAATGTTAATTATTGGTTGAGGTTGCGGCACGAATTTGTGGGTCTGGTCTGCAGGGCCCAGTCCAGGTCCAGGTCCAGGCTCGGTTGCCTCATATTCATTGTGTGTGGGGGTCTCTGGGGTAGTCCCTCTGCACACTGAGTCCATCCTGGGGGACGGTGGGATTTTGAGATGTGACACCATTCACATGCCCATCCACCATCCATTGTTGTCTACTGGGGGGAAAATTTTTTTTCTTTAATTAAAATGAATATAAATAACATTCAATGGTCGTGAATGTGATTCACAAAACTTTGCCAGCTAACATGTTGTTGGACATGGAAAAAAAAAAAAAAAATATTGAAGAAGAGGGGAAAATAGAATGGATATCTGTTTTGAAAACCTGAAGCCCGGAAGGTTGTGGTCATTTGTGAGTGCTTCTAATAATGCAACCAATGTTTAAAGTACAAATATTATGTTATGTTTTTCAGAAGCGGTTCGGTACATTTTGGGAGAAGGATCCCAGAAACAACGAGGCGTTTTTTAAGGAAAGTTTTAGGATGGAGAGACCTGCTTTCTCTGTTGGTTACTCGCTTGGAGTGCTACGGAAGAAGGACACAAACTGCCGAGCTGCAACCTCTGGAGAGCGTACGCCATACTTTATACTTTGGGATCTTCTTCTGAGAAGAGTGTTTTTCGGAGTGTCAGCCAACAGCGTCTGCAATATCCTGCATGATTTTGCAGAGCATTCATCAACGAATTCTTAGAAGGTCACAAAAACTATCTCACTTCAGAGAAAATTGACGAGTGTGTCCAAGCATTTGAAGAAATTGGGTTCCTCAGTGCCTGGTGCAATTGGTAATAATGCAATAAAATCATCCATAATTATGTATATACATATATGTATATTTTATCACTTAATTTTTATGTTAGATGGTGTCACATCGATCACCTGCAGCTGATATTTGATTTTTTTGCGGCTTTGTGGATGGTTATTTTGTTTTATTTTTATATTTGCCTGTCTGTCATTGTTTACATTTTCGTAGTGACTCGATTTTTGTTGTGATATGGTTGTTGACATGAAAAATGCTGAAACGTGGGGAACATCCCAGATGGTGGTGGTCTGGGGGGGGGCCACAGGGGGGTGGTGGTGGCCCCAGGGAGACTATAAGGGGGCTAAGGGAGCTAAGGGGGCGTAGCACTTACTGCATTCTGTGGCAGACGTCTCGTGGTATCCAAATAATGTGCTTCCTGTGGCAATATCCTCGGGTGGGGGGGCTGGGTGGACACGAAACACTGCGCACTCACTTCTCGTTCACTCGATGGTCTGTGGGAGTTCTTGGGGGTCTTGTCTATTTAACACTGAGTCGCACTTGGGTAAATGTCTTGTGCAGCACTTTTCCTGCTGCTGCTAACGGTTCGGTTCGGTTCGCTCGTCTAGCTCAAACAACTAAATGAATGACTTTCTTTGGCTGGTTAATGTTTTATACCAAAAAGTCGCCGCCACACTCGAAGCCGAAGCAGCCGCCCAAGAGCATATTTCTCTCTCTACTATGTCTCTCTCTCTCTCTCTCTCTCTCTCGTGTCCGACTGCTGCCTTGAGCTCTCTGTCTCTCCTCACTCTCTGTTTACGAATGAACTGGAGGGTAAGGTATGTTTTTGTGTGTCTTTTTTCTGTTGCTATTTGTTGACTTGTAGAATGGGGAGAGGGATTAGCTGCACTGTCTTACCCTTCGACTAATATACCTTGCTCACTGCCAGGTTTTCCCTCTCTCTCTTCCACCCTCTCTTGCTGGCAAAGAGTGGCTCAAAAATTGTATTCGAATTGAAAAATTTGAGTGGAATTTCCTACGCCTTCAAGTTCGTTCGCCGAAGAGTCTTTTGTTTTGGTGGGTGGGCTGCTGCTATGTAGAACTGTGTGTCTGTGTCTGTGTCTGTGTCTGCTTCTGCTCCTGTCTATTAGTCATAATCGAATTTAGATTACTCATGCTGAGATCTTTAACTAACTGCAAGCAACATTTGGAATTGGATGGCCTGGCCCTACTATGTGGCTGCCACTCGTAGAAGCTGCCTTGGCTGTACGTAGTGTAATTAACATTTTCGCCGCTGATTTTCTCAGCCTTCGCAGCGTATTTTGCATGTTTGCTATTTCCATTTTCAATACAACGCCAGATACGAAACGATACGATACGATACGATGCGATGCGATGCCAAGTAAATGAAAATAAAAATCATTTGCGCCGGTTTCTGCAACGAGGCTGCAACGATGCTGCGCGATGCGATGCGATGCTCCCACAACGCTGAGGCGGCGATGAGGCGCAGACCACAAGAAACCTGTGCGGCAACTCATCCATCGAATGAAATGCTAAAAGCTAACCAAGGCACACAGCTCACAGCTCACAGATACACACCGATACTCGCACACGGATGCATTTGTTTAGCTAATATGAATTAATTTACAATACTGCAAACGCCTACAAGTGGGGGGAGGGGGCAGCGAGATGGGGATGGGATGCTGACTGACGCCTTCGTCTGTTGAACTTTTGCGTTTCTGTGCCGTTGCCGACGATGCTGCTGTTGCTGCTGTTGCACTTGTATCTGCATCTCTGCCTCTCGTATCTGAATCTGTATCTGCCTCGTTTTTCGGCGGGCAGCATTCAAGCATTGCAACTGCTTGCCGTTCAATGTCTGGACACTGACCGCACTGCACTGACCATTATCTCTACATAAATATACATATATACATTTCAAATATATACATATATATATATATACATATATATATTTGTAGATTTGGCAATGCATGCAAAGAAGCGTAACGCAAAGAAAGTGCAACTTGTTGTTTACTCTGCTTGTGGCTGCTGTTTTGGAAAAGTGTTTGGCGGGAGCCACCCCCCCCCCCCCAATCCCCTTCTCCCGTGTTGAAGTGTTGAAGTGACTTGCTCTGGCCGCCAGGTGATATAACAAGTTCACATAATTTTCTGGCTTTTCTTTTTGGTTTTTGGTTTTTATTTTGTTTTCTGTTTCTGTTGCTCCACCCCATCGTCATATTACACATTTTGCAGCTGCCGCGGCAAACAACTTCACGACTCTGATGGATAATTGCAGGCGGCGACGGCGACGGCGGCGCTAATCACAATCGTTCCTCCCTTTCTCAGGCGGCGGCGGGTGCCTCAATTATAATGCATAATTAATAAAAATGTTTTGCTGGATTAGTCAGCGCAACCGAGCCAAAATAAACCCTCCAGCCCAGCCCAGCCCCGCCCCGCCCATCTGTAGATTTTGCTGGCAAATGTCTCTCCAATGTCGCTGACGACTCTTACTATTATTGCCCCCCTCCCCATAATAACACAGGTAAAAATTCATTACACGAACTAACTGGCTAACTGACTAACTGGCCGACCATTATGCAAAGTCCAAGTCCATTCCGATCCACGCCAGAGCCATGCCAAAGCCATTGCAGTGGCCCATGCGGCACGTTTCGAGGAAGTTGATTGTCACAAAGGCCTCTCTCATAATCATAACTGTGCCCCATCGACAGCATTAACAAGCAGCGCGACGGTCAGGTTCATTGGGGGAAATTATAGGCATTGGCAGACACAGCCACAGCCACAGAGACAGAGACAGAGACAGCCAAAGCCAAACTGGACAAAAACTAAACCTCAAATTGCACTACAACTATTTTATCTCTGCGTCCCGTCCATTTCCTTTCTTGAGCTACCCGCAAATTTCTCCCAGTGTGGCAACAGTTTTAGCTGCAATTGCAATTGAGAATTGGTCAGCTTGCACCACTCATGGACTGGACTCTGATCCGCCAAAGAAATCAAAAGAAAATGAAATGAAATGAAATGAAATGAAATGAAATAAAATAAAATAAAAGAGTCAGACAAGGGAATGGGAATGGCAATGGAGAAATGTTTCCCATCCACTACGGTCCCCCTCTTTTGTTTATTAACTAATTAGCCCTAATGCTTAATGCTCCACATATTTTGCGTCTGGCAGTGCGTAAGCGTAAGCGTAAGCGCCATGTTATGTCAGGGTTTTCCCTCGTGCCGAACTCTCAATCTGCGCATTTCGCAAGAATATTGCAAGCCCCCTCCCGGCTACGGCTAGCATCTTGATGGATGAAAAAGCGAAAGTAAGTCTGAGTCTCAGCTGTCTGGTCTGGCCTCTGATCCGCTAAGCTAACGTTCTAATGGGCCACGTCACTCCACGCCACACCACGCCACACCACTCCACTTGGGCTTTGAAGTTCAAGGCCGCGTGAGCTCGAAGAGTGGCGAATCGAGATTAATTACAAGTTCTCTGGGCGTTGTTTCAGTGGATTAGCAGTTCATTTAATTCACACACGAGTATGGGCAAATTAAGTAATTTCTGGTCATACTCTGCCGATGGAGAGGGGTGGCATTGACTTGGCGATTGTTTCTCAAACTGCGATGGAAAAGGGTAGCTGAAAATCGGCTTTAAAGCACAAATTGGTGGACTTTAAGAGCTAATTGGGCGCACATTAGCGCCGTGTATGCTTTAAGTTATTTAATTGATGATTAAAGATTCCTCCACTGACTGACAGCAGTACCAGCATCAGCCAGCACACCCACACCCCCCACACCCCACACCCACACCCACAATTAGCCATTCAGATTCATTCACTTCACATTCACATTCACATCATAATCATCATTTACGAGCAGTCAACAATGGGCAAGTTTAAGATCTAAAGAGCCAGATTCAAGCCGGAACTTGTCCGCTACATGATTTGTAAGTTTTAAGTTGATTGTTTTTATTCGGTGGACTATCAAGATCAGATTGGAACTGTTCAGATTCAGTTTCGGATTCAGTTTCACTTCTGAAGGGAAGGAAGTGACTCTGAACTTGACATTGAGGGGGCGTGCCGCCCGGGGCCAGGCCAGGCCAGGCCAAAGAAATGCAAATTTCTGACCATTCTCACGCGTCGAGCGATTGAAGCGGAAGGAAGTCAAATTCGGAACGGCTCTAGCTGAAACTGCAGCTGACATCGCTCTGGGATCCGTCGTTCTGTGCATGAGTAATTCAATCGAAATCAATTGAAATCAATTGCAATGCCCCCGCTTACAAATTACCAATCGACGCCAACCAAAAGGCAACAAAGAAATTGGCGAGGGAGAGGGCACAACATACAACAACAAAAACCCATAGCCATAGCCACCCAAACCAAGCAAAGCAAATCCGCTTTTGTCCAATTGTTGCGCACTTGAAGCATGAAGCGTGCCATGGTGCCATGGTGGTGGAGCCGCAGCGCGCACCTGACGGACTGACGGACTGATGGACTGATGGACTCTGATGCACTCCTCCGACATGGACAGTCCGATTGGGCATGGCTGACTGCTCTAGCGGGCTCTGGTGGTCTGCTGGTCTGCTGGTCTGGTGCTGGTGGCGGCTACTTCGGGCGTTACCAATCCCATGGAACGCCACAAAAGAAATGCTGACGCGCACTCCGAGCTGGAGGCTGAAGTTGGGGCTGGGCTGAGGCTGGGTCTGGGGCTGATTCGGGGCTAACGGGCTCATTAATTTCAGTTCAAGGCATCGAAGGTATTTTTTTTTTTTTTTTTTTTGTATCTTTACGTAAACTCGCTCGTTCCGTTGCCGATTTGTAACAATAAAATAAAACTTGGAGTGTAGAAGCGAGAAAAATACAAACGAAAAGAAACCCCGCACAAGCACACGAAAGAGTACAAGTAAATTCGCAATTTTGTTACAATTTTCATTGTCTTGGGTGCAGTTCAAGTCCGAAACTGAATCCGAGTCCAAATCCAAGCCCTGCCACTGCCACTGCCCCTCGGCCACTCCCAGGGCAACTATTAATTATCACAATTCAGCAAGAGTCTGTTTGTTTTGGGGTCTGACCGCCCTATAATTACCCGAGCGGTTCGCTTTAATTGCCTCAGATTTATTTTAAATAGGTCAGCCGTAAGCAGTACCCACTGCTGCTCTGAACTTGAAATTTCTGCGTCTTTGCCCACTCGAATACAATGCAAGGGTACACGAAGTACGTGGAGATCGTGGTGGCAATGGCACTGGCGAGACAAAGCAGGGTGGGAGGAATCCCCCTAGAATCCATTTCGTTTTGCAGGCTACGCCAGGCTAAAGGAAGGAAGAAAGCCTCCAAAGGAAGATAGCATTTCCGGTGATTTCCCTTGGGTAATCAAACATTTAACTTGTTTGGACACAATTTAGTGCTGATATGAATGGAGGGAGTTCTGGTTTGATTACTTCATGCGAGTGTACCCTTGCTGAGGGTATTCCAATTTTCCCCTGCAGCTCATTATACAAGTCCTCCGCAGCATCAACAGTCGAGTCGAATAGCCAACTCAGCTCTGACAACACGGAACCATCTGCATTCCAGTCTGTGACTTACGCGGTCTGTTCTGCAAGGGTATCAACTACCATTACTGATTGGTTTCCAAATACTTTTAACCGATAAGTCA